TATCTGTTTTAATTTTTTTAAGAAAATATTATTTTAGTTCGTTTAAATCCATTGGCAGCATCAACAGATATAACAGAATTTGAAATATAAATTTTTGCATAAAATTCTACTGGCCGAGTCTGATTTTTCGCATGAAGGTTCATTTTTGTGTCGCCTCTACGGAGTAGTGGCGACATATAGGGATCACTTCTCCGTCGTCTGTCTGTCCGTCCGTCACAAAACTTGCCCGGACTACTCCTCATAAACTACTGGTGCAATTTCATCCAAACTTTACAGGAATGATCAGTACCAAGTCTAGTTGTGCATGTTGTCAGCATTTTCCGGTTCAATGATTTTTGTAAGAGTTATGGCCCTTTAATAATTTTTATTTTTAAAGTTTGTCCGGACTACTTCTCTTATACCACTAATGCAATTTCAATGGTAATTTACAGGATTGATCTGTAGCTCAAGTCCTTGCGCATATTGCACGGGTTTTCCGGTTGAATGATTTTTGGCCGAGTTATGGCCGTTTGATAAAAAGGTGTTTTTTTCTGTGTGTTGCCAGATATACAAAAGCTTGTCCGGACTTGTCCGGACTACTCCTCATAAACTACGGGTGCAATTTCATCCAAACTTAACAGGAATGATCAGTACCAAGTCTAGTTGTGCATATTGTCAGCATTTTCCGGTTCAATGATTTTTGTAAGAGTTATGGCCCTTTAATAATTTTTATTTTTAAAGTTTGTCCGGACTACTTTTCTTATACCACTAATGCAATTTCAATGAAACTTTACAGGATTGATCTGTAGCTCAAGTCCTTGCGCATATTGCACGGGTTTTCCGGTTGAATGATTGTTGGCCGAGTTATGGCCGTTTGATAAAAAGGTGTTTTTTCTGTGTGTTGCCAGATACACAATAGCTTGTCCTGACTACTCCTCATAAACTACTGGTGCAATTTTATCCAAAATTTACAGGAGTGATCAGTACCAAGTCTAGTTGTGCACTGTCTGTCTGTCTGTCCGTCTGTCACAAAACTTGTCCCCACTTCTCCTCATAAACTACTGGGGCAATTTCATCCTAAATTTACAGGAATTTATGTCGCCACTACTCCGATCACTTCTCCGTCTGTCACAAAACTTGTCCCAACATGAAATTGGCCATCATGAGGCGACACATGTGATCACTGATCGCTCTTGTTAAGAAATGGTACTGAATTAAGGTAAATTGTCAAACCTATTTAATTGTACTTGTGTAATACTAAATTACTAGGAAATGTGCATACATTATGGCTTAAATCAAATTTTGGATTCATTTAGGTCTCACCCTGGTACGGAATTAGACCCAACTCGTTGTAGTCTAGAAAGTAGTTCTTTTAATTTTTGAAGTGGCCCAGTTTAAGTTCTCTCTAGTTTGATTGGTCATAATTAAAGTGTATTTATTGCATGTGTGTAGTTTTTGTGTGTTATAGGATGACTTTAAAAGTTGTTTTTTTGTGTATTCTCCAGGAACTCATTTGTTGGCGGAAGGATTAAAAATGTACTACCCACCAGCAGTCAAGAGTTTTCAAAGTGGTGAATTTAAACAGTGTTACAACAGAATGAAGATTTCTGAAAAAAAGTAGATGGCTAACATGTTATATTTTGGGCCTCATTTGACTTAGATAGTGTTGATGTTTGAAGTTGAAGACAGTATATAATTCATCAGGAACAGTGGAATTGGGAATTAAGCCTTATATGTGACTGATTTACTATAGAGCAAAGAATACGAAAATTCACTAGGCGCGGCTGTTATACTTTCTCCCTCGATTATATAGTTTACAAAGCATTTTAAAGCAAAAATAATATCGCATTTTGATTGATATCTGCCGTACTGTATAATGCTGAAATAATATCTCACATACACTAACGTCACAGATTTGATCCATATCAGTAAATAAATTTAACAGAAGGTCACGCGATGGCATCAGATCCACACACGAAGTCACCTCAAAGATGCAAATTTTTACCAAGTAGTTTACCCGCAGGACACGCGAAGGTCACGGGATAGGTACACGACGTCGTATTTTGAGTACGATGCGTTCGTACGTGGTTACGAAGGCGTCAAGTGACCTCCAGGTGGTATAAAACCTTCGGTCAACCGCGGCAAATTTCAATGGCAGATAATATTGGGAGCTAAACTAAGTTTAAACTTTATTTTGGATCTTCATATTACTATCAAAAACAATTCTATTCACACGAAAATCTATGATAAAAGAGATGATTTTGATTTTGGTATAGTAAATTATCCACATTTAGATGGAGACGTACCGCATGCAACATCTTACGGGGTATATGTATCTCAGTTAATTAGATTCGCAAGAGCTTGTAGCAACGTAAAGGATTTTAACGAGCGAAATATTTTCATTACTAGCAAGCTACTCAAACAGGGCTACCGCTATTATAAATTACGTAAATATTTTACAAAATTTTACAATCGTAACTTTGATTTAATCTCAAAATTCAATAGTGATTTAATAACACTTCTCCGACAAGGGATTAGCCAGTCTGACTTTTAATGGGATGTTATTAACAAACTTCGTATGATCTTGGTCATTGTTATTTTTCTGTTGTCTTTACTAAAATTATTAAACTTTCTATGAAAAAAGGTTATGACCCTACCGCATGCTTAGTGTTCAACACTTTTACAGATGGACGCCACGCTTTCCTCTTTTGAATACCTCTGTCGGACCAAGTGGGAGACTCAATGATGGAAAGTTCTTAAAGCCCTTTGGGACTGAATTGCCTTAATGTTCCCCTTCTGTTTTGCTTTATTGGGCCCTGTAGGTGATATGCTTGTTGCTCTGTCTTCCTTTAAGACATTGAGTACATTTGTTATGGTCAATGGGTTTTCTTTTATATGTTTCTACATGGTCATTCCAGTGTTCACATTTTGTAACCATAACAAATGTAAGAATTTCACTTGGCGGCGATTCATTTTATTTACACTGTCTCGTTTATAAGAACATGTTGGGAGGTTTGGTGCACCATTAACCGGTTTAAACGCCCCAGTACTTATGCCCAGTCTCTTACCCCCTTCCCATGTGTCCTTGCTTTGTGGGCCTATTAATTAATCATTTATTTGATTTCCTTGATTTCCTTGTCGGTTACTATTTTTTCTTCTTATGTATTATTTTAGTGATTAGCCTGTCCTTACTCTGCCTTGCGTTCTGTCCTGTTTTTGTTTTGGGGTCCTCCTAGACTCTTTGCTTCAAGTTCTTGGTGCTAGGTCGTGTGGGGGTAGCATTCATTGAACGCTGCCTTTCCTTGTTGGTCTTGTTTATCCTATTTGATTAAAATTTATCATGCCACCTAAGGTGGGCCTGTAGGAGTTGCTCATCATGTTTTCTAAGTTGGATAAAAATTAGCAATGCTGCTGTCTTCTTTTTCTCGGTTGACTGAAAATAACTTTAAATTAATTGCAAATAATGGAAGCTTTTGATGTCTCTGTAGAGATGTGCAAGACTGACAGATGAGGAAGATGGTCTGAGGTTAGATCTTTATATGTCCACCATGATAAATGTGCAACGTTTGCGTCACTCAAATTTGCTTTATTCGTACTCATCGTGGTCCCATCTCGATGTGATCGTACCAAAACACGATGGCGACACGACGGTATTGCGGGGGCTTCACGTAGTCGTGTACCCTTCTAAAGACAATCGGGAATCTTCGTGTTTCTTTCGTATTGTCTTCTTAAGGCGATTGCACCGATGATCACACGAAGTAAAGGCGAAGACTACACGATTTGACGAGATGGCTTCACGACGGCCATACGAAGCGCACATTTGGCATACGAATTAAACACGAAAATGAACCTTCGCAATGTCTTCCGGCAATTTTTTGGCATGCAAAAGATTTTGCGACCGCTCACGAATTTGCTGCCGGAGCCTGAAAAATTTAGCCCGTGTTTGAGTTTTTGCTTTGTGGTTACTTTAAATACTCAATTTATAAAAATTAGTTTGCAGCTTCTTCAAATCAATGTCGACTTCTTTAAACTAACAAATTCTTGTGTCATATGGTAAAATAGAAGATAAACAATATAACAATCCACATTGCCATAAAACATACTTTTTAAGGGTTTATTGATGTTTTATTTGCATGAATGTCATGCAGAAATATATACTTATAATATCTGTCATATGTTTCGGTTCAGATTTGGGCGGTAACGAGGCTTGTCGATCACGAGGCTTGCCGAGTTACCGCCCATGGGCGGGTTCCCGAGGGACGGATATTCCGATCTGAACCTCAAACATTTGTCAGATATTTTTTCTTGCATATTTTGCCATATTATTTCATATTTAAAATGGTTTACCTCAATATGATATATGTTCATAGAGATTTAAGTCATTTCATCCATAACTATTTTCTGACAATAGCGTATGAACCTACAACTAAAATAACAACCACGAGATGCCGTCATCCTAAGCACATATTTCCCTTCTAAAACGACGTCATTTTAACGCAGTTCATTCATAAAGTGCGCTAAAAGACGTTGTTGTTTGGCACGCGACTCATCGGGCACCCCCATGGCAGATGAAATTTCCGGCATGGGTAAAACTAACGGAAACGCCGGTCTGCTATGCAAGAAAACATTTTCTCAAATGACAATTTACCAATGTCCGGCACCAAACATACAATTTAGTAGCATTCAGTCAATCAGAAACAGTGACGTGTTTGAGTCTGAATCAATAGGACCTAAGTGGGGAGCACTGTTTTAAAGAATTAACATTTCAACAGGTGTATGTAATGATCGAGCTTGCGCCAAGGTCACACAGTGCAACATTTTACAAATCATGAAAAGTGTACACTTGTACACCGTAGTAGTCATCTATCAAAAATAAGTTGAAAAAGTAACACACTAGATCCGTTTTGAGAACTTTCTCTTTTCCCGCTGTCACGTGTTCTGTGAATGTGATTTTTTCTCGTTTTTACATAAAAATGTGGATGAACATTCGCCAGTGAAATAGCCTTTTCAAATAACATAGCTTACGATGATAAAATTTATTAAGATAAAATAATAGACTATCGTACATAACAAAAACATTTAACATACCAATCCATGCACATTACAATTTGATATAGATTGCTACACAATGTTATGAATAAGCATGGCATGGATACAAGCAACAATATATTATACATGTTATATGCATTATTTGATTGAAGGTATATCAATATAACAATACCTACAGAGACTTTCAAAGTAGACACAAATGTTAAATTTTGTACTTAACTTATTCAGCACATCATTACCGAACTTGGTTCACCTTTCAGAAGGCACAAAATATAAAACAAGTATTAACTATTTCAGTCTTTTGGTCTGGTATATTTATATCAGTTTCAAGGACATTCATGGTTGAATTTATAGTCAGAGACAAATGGAAAGGTCTAATGACGACTCCCAACCTGGGAACCTTCTATCGTCTGAAGGAATTCATGGTCCGTCCGAAGAAAACAAAATTATTTTACCAATAATACGTTCTTAGGTTCATAAGTGGGACTAATGGTTTAAAAATGTGTTCTAACGTTTCAGTTATTTTTTTAAAGAATTTGAAATGTTAAATATTTCTGTATATTAACTATTCGAGGACGCTTCGTAAAAATACAAATACATTTTCTTAGCGATCTGATTATAGTTTGGTTGTAAATGTCTTAATCATAGTCCATACAATGTTGCTTTCTCCAATATTTTGATGGTATATATGTTTGCCCTAATAATTCGACATTTTGCTATTGTGATATACATGTATGATATTTGTCGTCCCAGACAAAAATGACAGTTTTTAGAAATAAAACGTTAGAAATATTTTAACATTTCAAAGGGTTGAAATATAAAAATCCTCTTGATTTACCCTTACCCATGCTTTAATAAATAAATTTCTATTGAATTCCTTTTTCATTTACACAACAAGAAAATAAAGTAAAGAACAACAGGCTTCCAATTACATTTTTCTTAACAAGAATATACAGTTACTTTATAAAGATGTCTATGCAAAGAAACTCACATTAAATGTAAATAAAAAAACGTTTTATTCAATCCAAAATTTTTGTTTAAATATATATTTTTGTAAAATTAAAGTACATTTTCTGTTATTACATCTTTGATAAGATAAAATTGTCAAACTATGGTATCATAATTCCATATATAGAAATACCGGTACCTAGTTTTTACGACTCTATATAATTTACAAGAAATAAAATTATGATCTGCAATCCGGATCTACACAGATAAATGTGGTTACAATATTAAAAAGTAAAATCATTCCCGATTTGAAAATCGCAAAGAAATGAGAACAAGAAATATAAAAAAAACTTTACTTTTCAAAATCTAAAATTGTTACATTCCTTTATTGTTTTCATTTGAATTTATTCTTCATTCAACATGTGAGCCGCGCCATGACAAAACCAACATAATGGGTTGGCGACCAGCATGGATCCAGACCAGCCTGCGCATCCGCGCAGTCTGATCAGGATCCATGCTGTTCGCTTACATATTCTATAACAAGTAGAGAAACTGATAGCGAACATCATGGATCCTTATCAGACTGCGCGGATGCGCAGGCTTGTCTGGATCCATGCTGGTCGCAAACTCACTATGTTGGTTTTGTCGTGACGCGGCTCAATTATGTATCCTTTACAGATAATACTTAAGCATTACTAAAGAACATTAAAATATTAGTATGCACAATTTATTAAGCACAGTTGGACCGAACAGCAATTTTACCTTTTAAAATAACGAAAGGCAAGAAAATGAATAAAAATACCAGCTACTTAACTTAAAATGTAGCAACGTCAACATATAAAAAGAATATAAAAGTAAAAAGAGTATCTAACTACTTTTACTTTTAACTTTTACAATTTTAGCAAAAAAAAAAGTTTTTAATTTAATCTATGTACATGCCATTCGTCATAAGCGGTGCATTTTACTTATATAACCTTAGTGAGGCTTTATTTTGTAAAAATATGCATATATTTCCCTGAAATATGGTTTGTTTGGCACTGTTACTTTTTATAGGCCTTAAACAGAAAAAATGGTCTGTCGTTTCAAATGAAAAACCTATATCAATAAGAACAATCAACATTTAAATGAAATATAAGACGCACACATTAAAAAAAACTGAAAATACATACACATTCACATCCATACATATCTTTACACCTGTTATGAAATGCTAAATGGATAATATACAAAAATAATATGATTTCTGAGAATAAAATCCCAGTTGTAAAGAAAGCATTTTATCTAAAAACATTTCTATACAAGAGCCGGTTGAACCTTGAACCGGGTGATGCTTCCCGAATACGTTTTGGGCACAGAAAAATATACCTTATGTAGTTTCAGTTATGTCTCGGACAAATTTCAAAATAAAATAATTAAAAATTTAGACAAGACAGAGTAACTGTTCTTTGCACTACACGTCTACTCAATGAGATCTATCTACCGACTAAGTTTCTTGTTGATACCTCTTGACAAATGTCATGGACAATGTTCAAAATAAAAAAAATGAACAAAGGGAAATAACTCCAAAGTTAGACAAGGCAGAGTTATGGTTGTTAATGTTTTCTACTGTTAATCTAACTTATGAGATTTATGTGCCTACAAAGGTTCTTGTTTATATCTCCTAAAGTTTCAGAGTCATGTCCCTGACAATGTCAAAAGTGTAAAAATAAACAAAGGACAATAACTCCAAAATTAGGCAAGGCAGAGTTATGGTTCTTTTGCACTGCACATCTATCTACCTTATGAGATCTATCAAAGTATCTTGTTCATATCTATTGTACTTTCAGAGCTTTGTCCTGGACAGTGTTCAAAGTGTAAAAATGGACGAAGGGCGGCAAAAACTCCAAAATTGAGAAAGGAAGAGTTACTGTTCTTTTGCACTGCATATTCATCTAATGAAATATATCTACCTACAAAATTTCTTGTTGATACCTCATACGGTTTCAGAGCTATGTCACGGTCAAAGTTCAAAGTGAAACAAGATTTTTCAAAAAGGGGGTAATATACAGATATATATTGGCACTACTGTCCGCTTCAATGCCCTCTACCACTGTGTGCAGTTTAAAAAAATATGTCCAAGGGCTTTAAGGTTATGCTTCGGACAAGACTTGTCTTAAAGGGGAGATAATTCAAGAACGGGATAAAATAGAGTTATGGTTCTTTCGCACTGCACTCCGCCCCGATGCCCTCTGCTCATTTGTGCAGTTTAAACAAATAATCTCCAAGGGCTTACATGTTATACTCAGGATAAGATTTTTTTCTAAAAGGGGAGATTATTAAAAAACGGGACAAAACAGAGTAATGGTTCTTTTACACTAAACTCCGCCTCCATGCCCACTACCACTGTGTGCTGTTTAAACATATTATGTACTAGGGTTTTCAATAATGCTCCGGATAAGCACAACGGACGGACGGACAGATGGACAGACGAACAAACGGACAAGGTGGCGACTATATGCTCTCACTTCCGGGCACATAAAAACATGTAAACAAGCACCTTCTGATATTCACATTTAACTATTCTGATTAAAACCAAAATACTTCCAATAAACATAAAAAAGAAACAAAACCTGATAAATATTACGAATAACGCTTCCGATCAACCGAGAGAGAATAACATTTTTTATTTACTTAATACGAGCTCGTATAAGCACTTCAAAAACATTACTGGAAAACATCTTCATAAACATAAACAAAAACCATTCTGACTAACCGATAACAGAGAAAGAAAAACATTAAATCTTCTAATTTGCATAAAGACAGACACTCGCAAGCATAAAAAGTTCTAATTGGCATAAAGAACATCATTTCTGATCAACTGTAAAGATAAACACTCCTGATAAACATATTAATGAAAAATATTAATAAGTTCACTATTTGATTTCTTTAATCTATTATTTCTTTCTATATGTTTGTCAAAGCTGGTAGGAAAAATAAACAAAATAGCTTAAATTTCTTCCATCTTAATCGTTTGACATATTCAATATTAAATCTTCGACATGTCTAATAACACTTTCATTTTTTTCCTTCTTTCGCATCCTTTTTTCTTCATTAGATTCTTTTGAATCTCCGAAATAAACTTTTGCATTTCTTCCAAGTCATCATCTTCTTGTAGTATACTTTGATTATTTTCCATGAGGCAAGCGGTGTCGTCTTCTTGAAGAAAATTTTTTTCTTGCCCTGCTTGCATTACTCCCTCGTCTTTGACAGGCTGTAATATATTGAAAAATTAAAATACTAGATATTATTTGATTCCTGCACTTTTCAATGTTTTCAACGAGCTACACGTTCATTTTTTAAAGTAAAAGCATACAATGATTTTATCCGCGTATTGTTTTAAAGTACACAATTTACATCTTTATTACAATGAAATTGGAAACAATGTCAATGTTATTTGTACACGAGTCACATTTTCCTTACCATTGGTGTTTATTTGATGAAAATATTAAGTGAAAACGCTTATGTTAATTAGTATATACCACCTTGTCGACATGAACTATACGTTGGAGAAGGTTTGTTCCCATAAAAATGCAATTAACTCAGATTAAGATTATGATTAATAATTGAAATAAGCAAACCATACCGTTTTGAAATGTTTTCCGGATCTTCTACCATTGTTTGTTTCCTCTTCAACATTTCCATTTTCTGAAATAATATGTGAATTTTTCTTATAGACTTACGCTTGAGATTAAATTTAATAAAATGAAAACAATCTGGATTAAAAAGAAGAACGGTTCAACAAAAACGACGCAGTCAAATGACATATACTGTGTCAGTGTGACGTAAAACCCAGTCAAGCAAAAGAACAAACAAACTATATATTATCTTAATTACTTTTGATATATCTAGTTTCAATTCATTGCGAAAACAATGATAAAATTTGAATTTAAAATATAGACAAAATGCAGTCTTAAATGTATTATTATAGAAACATATGTATTGAACTTATGTCAAATTGAAGGAGGCTATTTTTAATTCCATTACTTTAAACATAGAACGTGCACTAAATGTACCTTCAAATTGTCCTGTGGCCCCTTGCATAGATCGCATTTCAACATTGTATGCCGATTGTGTATCTATTTTATTAAAGATAAAAACATGTCAACAGTCAATAATTCATATGAATGTTAAGTTCTGATATTGAATAATAAAGACTTTCGTTGCAATGCTGCAAAACTTTTACATATTTGATATAGTGTATGGATGAAATAAATGTTGCAAATATGGATAAAAAGTTAGATTTAATATAATGTTATTTCAAAACATGTAAAGGATAATAAATCGCATAGCTTGTATGTTATACACAGCTATTTTGGTTTTAGTCTCATGTTAAATATGAAAATAATTTGTGATATCTACAGGAATCTAAAATAAAACACAGTAAATTCCTCGAAGGAATTATGAATTTTTTCACTACCTAGTACAGTCCCTGGGGAACATTTGTGTGCAAAAAAGGTCCATGAATAAATGCTATACCAATGTAAAGCTAAATATTTGAAGTTTACAAAAAAATTTGGTAGACATGTTAAATCATGGTCCTTTTTGGGATATCCAAGATGGCCGCCAAGATTGTAGTCAAAGTATTGAAATATGGCTAAAACGCATTTTGTCTGATAAAATTAGTTCTTTTTTGTATCTATTTTAGAACAGGTGATATAAGAACTTCACATCCTATTAGAACAATATGAAAATGGGTCCTTTTCCATTTTTCGATACATATGCTCTAGTTTTCATAGAGAAATTTTGCTAAAAAGCATTTAAAATATCAAAAATCGACATGGGGCTGACTTTTTTTCCATTCAGTCGAGTGATAGCGGTGGAAATGAATATTTAACCATATATTACAAAGACCTGATCAACATCTTACTAAGTGTACCCTTATTTATATATTTAGTATTCTGACATTCCTGAAGTGGATGGTGTACACGAATATTAAGTCCAACTTTCTAATGAATTGATATATAACGATTAATAAGACTTAGAATAACCAACATGTATTACATTTTGAAATGTTCTTAAGTCTTGATTTCTTAAGGTAAATTTGCATTCTGTTAACGACATGAATTGGTTCTGTTGCCATGGCAACTAAGTGGTTAACAAATACAACACCCGGAACGTCTGAGGCTTTCAGTTTTATCATTTCAAGCATGTTGTAGAATTCAATATCATGATTATGCAATACAGAATTCAAAGTTGGATACATTTACATTGTTGTAATTGAAACATAAAAAAATCACCTCAAAATTCTCTACATTTACTTTCCATTAAAAAAATTACAAATTTGAATTATAACATCAGTGACATTTTGCTGAATCGCTACAACACACTCATAACAATAAAAGCGCTTAAAGTTCTTACAGACAAAAGACGATAATAAAATTTACTGAGAGTTATATTGAACATTAAATTTATGCTTGATAATTGGTCCGATTTGAGCAAAAGGCTTTGCAACATTCTCCATTTATCGGCCATTGTTCACAGTATAAAACACTATTCTAGGAAAACAGCGTTAGTAAATTACGAGAACATCTGAGACAGTAAAGCAAAAAATATACAAAAGATATTCACAAATTCATTACATTCCAACGAACATTAGATTTCTTGCTGACGACTTAGATTATCTGGCGCTTCATCTCACAGATCAATGTGATAAGAAGGAAGTGACAATATTACAATATATTGTGTTGGAGAATGTGTAGTAAATGATTGTGTTATCATCTCAATGCAATACCTGCTAATAAATAGTTTAACAGTTGGAGGAAAAAGAAGGAATAAAAATCACTATTTTATGTCAGAAATTTCACACTTTCCTCTATTATAAAAAAATATTATATTTAATTATATTTATCCTGTATACAGGTCTTGCTACGCAAAACAAATAGGCCACATTTCACCGATGCCTCAAAATTCTTAATTAATTCTGTTGTGACCTACAGGTCAGACCACCTAATGCTTTGTTATACGGCCAGTATGTTTTGAATCATCATCAACAAACTCCACGGACTGTACACCAAATGGCAGCTTGTCTTATTACCAAAAAAAACCTCTATTTAAACATATAAAACCATCGTAAAGAATCTCAATTGTTTACCTAATGAAAATCGAATACGGTACAAATCATTGCATATTCTATCAGTTAAATGGACAAACTCCAGTATACATTAAAGCTACCGAAGTATGTATACAAAAATAAAACTTAAAATTTTAAATTAATTATACAATATCTGTAATTCCGATGTCGAAACAATGTGAGTTATGCTATGCAGTCTCATTTCGTTCTTTAAAAACATGTGACTATTTAAGTAGATGGCGGTCTGTTTCACATTATTGTTATAAATCACGTTGAAATGGATTGAATATATTCATTTTATAGTACATTTATATGCAAATAGTTTTACATAGTCATATCTAGATTTGTATTATTTTTGAAATTTCATTTCAATGTCGAGTATTCTTACTGATTTCCTTAATGTTCATAACTAAGCTAATAATATAACAAGATTGTGCCATGCATTTTCGACCGTTTTTTACCAGAAATAAGAAAAAAATGTGTTTGTAAATCTTTGGGAGCGACTTCTGCTCCTCTCACACAAAAATATGTACATCATGTAGTAATAAGCTATAACTGATCTGTAAGTATTCAAATAAACACATAAGGACATTGGTTATCATATCAACTGTCACAGAGTCATGATTTAAAAATCATCAAATCATGTGGAATGACCCATGGCTAAACGAGTCCAACACTCATTTAAGATTTCTGTTTTAAATAAGTCATAATAGAAGTGCAGTCTTAAAACCATAGTTAAAATGTAATTAGAGACGAGGAAAAACAGCATTTCTTAAATATTATCCGGTAGCATGTTAAAATACACATTGACACTGGTGTGTTCTATATTAAGATCAAGTTCAGGCCGTTTTTGAATATGGAATCAGGATGAACATATGAATTTGATTTCCTTATGAAACAAACAATTTGTAAATATGATCTTAATTTGAATAAGCAAAAGTTCACTTTCACATAGACTTTGTAATACTGATTTGCCTTTATAGATGATCAGAAGGTGTCAATATTATGAAAAATGCACGGAGGGACACATAGTAAGGTACTGCAAGTCGCCACATGGCTTTTTAAAGTATTGATGTGACGTAAAAGTGGGCTAGATTTGATGAAATTTGGCAGAAATGTTGGGTTTTTTTGTTGTTGTTTTTTTTCAAGAATCTCTACTAAAGTTGTTAAAACGGTTCTGGATTATTGTATATCTTGGTCACAGAATTTAAAAGTAGAACTGACAATGCGTAATGTTTTCAAATATTCGCAGAAATTAAAAGATCTCGAGCTCATATATGTGTAGCTTCTTCAGTGTGTATAATTTTATTGTAGATCACTTTACATTTAGGTAGTCCTATTACTTTTTGAACAACCCTCGTATGTTTGTTTTATTTGTTTGGTTTATACGCCAATTTTAACACTTTTTTGGTGATAGCTCGGTTTAACGATCTGACTTTCGTGGATAAGTAACTAGAGAGTAATAACCAATCCGCAAGTTGCTGACTTAGGTAACACACAAATGACCGTAAACTCAATGTTCTAGATCAATTGTCGCCTAAGAATCGAACAAGAGATGCCTGGATTTTATATCCGATACATTCCCTAAAGAGCTAAGTTTGTGAGTCATCAAATAATGACCATGAGTCTGCATTACGAAATGGCCTTATATATAAAATTATTTATGATTGAAACCATTGTGCAAGAAATTTTGGTAGGAAGAATTGTCATCTTGTGTTCTTCTTTGATTGTTCAAATCATGACCCCCACTGGTATAAGGTGGCCTAGACTTTAAGACCTCGTGACCTACTTTCTTGTTGTGGAGCTAACAGACACAAAATGACATGCCAGCTGACCTAAATTTGTAGTTGTGACATTTTTGCATTTTGATTGTATAATTTCAGATGCAGATCAGCTGACCTAGAATTTAATCTAATGCAAGTAAGAGATTCGTAATACTACAACCAAAACGTTTGAACACAATAATAAATATGACTGTCATTAAAATTTGATATTCGTTGACCTAAAATTTGAACCAGTGACCTTCTTTTTTCATTTTAGCTACAAAATCTGAAATGTTTACCCTATGTACAGTTTCAGACATTTGATACACGTTTATATATATTTCTACCTTATGACTGCCTTTTACTTATAATTATCACCATAAATTATCATTTTCAAACGTAACAACATACACATTTGACATGACCTGTTTCAAGGTATAGCATTCCGAAAAAAACTGAATAAAAGCTATTTCTCCAAATTCATGATGCGAAATCTCGAAATTGATTTATTTATCTAATTTCAAAATATTGGCTGTTATTTGAGTTGATAATTTGCTAGAGTTAAATGCGACTTCTTTTAATGTTACAATTTTTTCAATTTGTTTTCATGACATTATGCACGGATTGTTTATTTTTGAGTTTGTGTATGGTATAATCATGTTTATCAACATGCTTAAAATGCTAAAAGTTGAAAGTGCTATACGTTTCAGGTTTCTTTAATTTTAATACACCGTTGCCATGGCAACAGAACAATTTGAATATTGATAAACAAACATCAATCTAACTTTCTTAATTACCAATAACTTTAGGTACATGCTAACGTGCAAGACATGTTAACTATTCGTAGTTTCAATTATCATAACAAACCAGGTCACAAAAATACTGAGACATAATTTTCGTTACTCCACTCACTTTAAGAAAATCAGAATCCACATTATTTTACAATAAAGATTGATGCAGAGATTGTCTTCAATTTACGAGTGCTACCTCCATGTTATGACACAAATCGTGTAATACAGTAACTGACTTAACGACGTCATGTTCAAAAACGGGCTTTGATGGTCAACTTTGACGCCGTGTGTACAAAAATTGGCTGAAACTATTGAAATAAAATGAACGGAACCTTATCAAAAATATGGTAAACTTTTTGCATGCCAATTGTCAAGACGCTACTCGAAAGTATCGCGTTCTACCTTAAGGCCGTTTTCCTTGTGTGTTTTTATTTTGCAAATATAAAAAGTAAAAACATTGACGTATTATCTTTTTTAATGCATGAAGTTGTATTTCCGAACATACAGTTAAGTCAGTAACTTTATTACACGATTTGTGTAGTAGCATGGAGGTAGCAACAATCTCTGCATCAATCTTTAGTGTAAAATAATTCCGTTGAATGCTGTCGGATTTAAGGTATTTTGTTCGTCAATGGCGTTGCGATTCCCATAATAGTTGCCAAGGATACGAACCGACGTCATGTTCAAAAACGGGCTTTAATGGTCGTCGTGTGTACAAAACTTGGCTGAAACTATTGGAATAAAATCAACGGAATCAGATCAGAAGTATGGTCAACTTTCTGCATGCCAATTTTCAAGTCGCTACTCGAGAAAGTTCACAAAGTGTCGCGTTCTACCTTAATGTCTAAATAATAAATATTTACTATTGACATATGCATATGAAATAAGATCATACTATTTCCGGTTTTTGGCCCCGTTTCAACAGCTAAAGATCTCATACCTTGCGCAGATACCAATGATTGCCCTTAAACATGGCATGCATTTTTGCAATAAGCAACATTTACTTGAATTTAAAAAAAACTCAAAGTGAGTTATAAGAAAAATGCTCAATATTGTAGTTATTACATGGAGTTGATAAAAAATGAATAATGTTCTCTGTTCTACTTCACTTTAAAAAAGATATCTTTATCATCAACTGTATTGAACTCTCCTTTTCCATTCTTTATAAATAACAAATTGAGCAAATTGTTTTGATTCTTATATAATCGAGAAATGTGTTAAGCTATCAACTATTATAATATAATTTGTACGTGTAAATGGATAACATCTTGAAAAAAGAAAATTTACAAGTACAGCTTCCTTACGTGAAAAAGGTGAGATATGCATCACAGGTATCTGAGGCTACAGATAATAGGATACTGAATAAAATATTCTTGCTTCGTTTCATTGAGAGAATAAACAAAAGTTGTTGCATATAATTAACTAAATGCTATAATTATATTGAAGAATCACCGTTCAACAACTTAAGAGGCATAGTCATAGTAATTATTTTTTTACCTTTGGGATCGTCCGAAATTATTGTTTGAGAATTATGAGACACAGCATCTGTCAACACTTTGGTACTTGTAGATGTTGGAATAACTTCGTTTTTATTATCGCTATCTTCTGATAGATTCGCTCCTGTAACAGTTACTTTGGAATCAATGCGTGCATTGGCTAAGACTACAAATGATGAAATTGGTTTCGAACAGAATAATCTTCATTGTTATTAGTAGAATATGATATTTAAGTCTACAAAATTAGCATTGTTAATTTATAAAACATATTGATGGATAATTTTGCACTTTTATTTAATAACAAACCTAATAGAAATGGATTCATCTCATTAATGAAGATGTCCATTTTTAATAATCGAGATTTAATTCATAAAGTCCTCACTGCTTGCAGTGTGTACACTTAAACTATTTTGTTTTGTATCTTGTTATCTTTTTAACAGAAGATTGCTTAAATATTTATTTATGAGAACATTTTTAGTTTTCATATCATAGAATAGAAACCACAAGTGTTATATTTTAAACACAACCACTATCTAGCAAGATAATTTAGAACTGCCACTTGAAGATTTGAAAGGAATCATGTTAAAGCCAAGTTGATTATTACCATAACTGTTTTGTTTCATTTCGAATTCATTGCAAGGGCACATAATCATACAAACTATCATATATAAATATTTAATAAATTTTCTGTTAAAAAGATAACAAGATACAAAACAAAATAATTATAACAAAATTCATTTACCATTACCATTGTAGTTAAGATTCCCAGGTTTGTATGTTTCATCCGCTGGTATTCCATTAAGGTTGTCATAATTATCACAAGATTTCCACTGTCGGCTCTGATTAAGTGGTCTGCTTTGATTAAGTGGTGGTGTTGATTCATTTTCAAGATTGACAGGTAAGGATTTAACGGTTGTTGAAGGTTTCTGATTGTAACGGCTTGTTCTCGTATTAACTACTTCAGATATCATTTGATGCCCTATTTTAATATGTTAGAAACAACACTTAAAAGTTGGTATTTTAAAGTGATTTTTGAATTTCTATTTGTGTGATGAAAAATGTTTTAAGTCGTACATACATGTGTATATACATATAAAATAATGGGGACTAAGTTGTGTCATTGATGGTGTACAATGCTAGTTCATCAAATATTTGTTTGTCCTTGTGTTTTGATGCGTGTATTCACCGTAAATTATCAGGTCTGTGAATCATATTTGTTTGTTGTAGCTAGAGACAGGTTAATCGTGTTTTGTTTAAACCGTTTTCAATTATAGCTGACTAAAATCCTATTTTAATTACATTGTACTTTAATCTTGTCCGCTTATTTAACTAACAAGAACCAGTGTAATATGACGAAATGTGGAAGTAATCCTTTCTTGTGTATCACTTATCAAGTTCAGGCTTCATTATCAGATCTTATTATCTATAATCGGACTGTTTCTAAAACAATAACAGAATATAAATACTTTTACAATCAATTTAAGTGAGTCTTGAAGAAAAATTGTAACCATATTACTATACTCTTTCTATGATCTTTTAAGCAGCACGCCTCCAGATTCATGTTAATTTTCATGATAATTTTGGAAATGTATTTAAAAGTAAAATATTGTTAGGTGAACAAATAAAGTAATTTACATATTGCAATCGGCAATTACAATCCGCGAAAATTAACAAAATGTGGTCAAGATATGCAAAAACAGCCCTTATTACGTTATTTACGCAGTAAAATTATTGAGATAAAATACTATAAAATCAGTCTTAAACCCCACGTAACATGTAAAATATAACTTGGATCATCATGTTTTTATCTTTCTTTAAAGATTAGTGTTTTTTTCTCAATATTGATTTTCTTGATTTTTGGCTCATCTCGAGGCATACAGCTTTAAGGGTATGAAATGACATTATCATTTAAAAATAAAGATTGAAAATATATTGAAATTTTGACAATTAAAACACATAAATTCAATAATTATCATGTTTTAACACAAACCCGTTTCGTCTATCCTCTGTTCTGCGGTTTGTAATTCTTGACGTTGCTTTGTTAGATCTGTCCTATTGGCTTGCACAAAATGCATCGGAACGGCTGCGCTATTTTCCTTCTCAAGTCCTGGTTCTACACTGCTACACACGTCAGTATCCGATATTTCTTCATTCTCAAAGGACGACACTGGTAAACATAAAACAGAAAATGTATCTTCGTTAACCATCATGTATGCCTTTTAGAAAACTATAAAAATACAAATTCAAGACAATGTTTTAAAAATATAATACAATACAATAGAACGGAAACAGAAGGAAACATGGCAATGATTTGTTGTTTACAATCGCAGAATAAGAGATCTGATATGACAAGAGACCTTAATGTAAAAATTATTGACATTTTATTACTGATCACATCTTAATATTATTAATTGTATAATTCAAACCAGGAACATCCTTATAAGTATCGGATTGCTCAACGGATTGCTCAACGTCTGCTCGGTGTTCAAATCGATCTGTCTCCTTGGTTTTTATGGAGTGAATCGTCCCCGGACTATGATTCTGAGTATGTAAGTCCGGTTCTACAGGTACAGAATTATTACCTTGCATAGAACCCAATGATTGTCCTGAAAAGTAATTTGTAGACATCATAGATATAATTAAACAAGCAGGTATGTGTTAAGAACAAAGTCATTACGAAGCATGTGTATATGAAGTTTGGTTTATGCTTACAACATTGAGTTTTCATTTTGCAAAAGTGCAAAATTTCAGAATAAATGAATAATATAGCTTGTATCAGTTGGAAAAGTAGAGCATGACCTACACACGCTATGATTAGTTTGTCTTCTGCCAATGGTGAGTTCAGCATTATACGCTGTAATGATATATTCAGGTGTTTCTGGATGAAAAAATGTTGCTTTGTATTACGTTGCATCCTCGCCAAAATAATATTTTAATAAAGAACCAACACGATAACTGCTTGGATAGTCAGTAAACAATATACATGTGAATACAATTTGTACGATATACTGTATATCTCTTTTTCATTATAACGAATGCATTCGATTTGGCAAGTGTATGGTCGATATGCGATAGAAGTTCTTCAGATATATAGCCTTTAAATTACGGTTAAACGTTATTGTTTAGCTTGAATATTTTACTTAAATACTTTAATGCCGATTAATGATAATAATTTAACAAACATAGATATTGTTATAGAATTATTGGAAGTATTTCAGTATCAATCACAACTCTTAATTGTACTTTCACGAGGCAGCTTTGTTATTTGAAAGTTTGTATTCAAAGCAGAAAAATACATTGTCTTACACAATCAGTACATGCTACATCTTTTTATTTTCAATTTCATTTGTTAGCTTAAAGTGATTTTATCAAGCATTTATATTAATATTTCAATTTATACTGAATGAAATTAAAATCAAAAGCGAATTGATGATAATTGAACAAATTTAATAAAATAAGTAATTCTTCATTACAGAAATTACTTCATTAAATTTTTAACATTTGAGAAAAATTATTTGGTTTCTCGATAAACATTATTTAACTTTTGTGAATAGAATAATCTCCCTTTATTTGAAAATCGTGTATTTTAAGGTATTTCAATATCTGTAATTAATCATAATTGACTTGTGATAAGTATTGAAAGCATTTCTGTGTTAAAATAAAGGTGATATATTTTGTTTGTTCTGTCTTTATGCTTGTTGTGTTTCAATTTAATATATATTTTGTGAGTACCAATCGCGATGTTTAATTGGAAAAAAACAATTAAATGATAACACCAGTTAAATATTAAACAGGACGGAAAATTACATCCGCAAAGTTTGAATCAAGAATCATATGTTACAGTGATGAATTCATACCATACATCCTACGATTTGGTGGACCTATTTATAAAAAATAGATAACTCTAACCATATGCTAATTGATAATCACAGGAGCGCCCGTGGCTGAATAATTGAGGTGGTTGACTTTAAACTTTTTGCCCCTTACCGCCGTGGGTACGAATCACAACTCTGACTATGGATTTTTTCATGTGAAGAAGCTATCAAGCTAGCTTACGGAACGTTGGTGGTTCTACTCAGGTGCCCGTATGTGCCTGAATAATACACGGAAGGGCACTTGAAGTATTCCTCCACGAATAATGTTGGAACGTCGCCATTTGACATTTTATATGTCGGTGTGACGTAAATTCCAATCAAGCAAACAAACAAAGATAACAACTGTTTATTACCGTAAATTCGTTCAAACTGACTTATTATATTTTAGTTTACAGAACGATCCATCGTTTGTTTGTACTTATGTTGTTTAAAAAGATGCATGGTATTAATATAAACAGCCAAGTTTAATACTTTTTCTATTTATCAAATGTTCAATATCAAACTGATTACCTAAGATTACTTGGGTTAACTGATCATTTTCAGTTTTCTGTTTCTCCTGAACTGTGTTATGTAGTTCTGTCTTAGCCACCGAAGCTGTTCTTTCGTCGGTGACTTTTCGTTCTTGATTAGATTCTGTTTTGTAAAGACAATTTCAAACTGATTACATTGATGTTTAAACTTTCTAGAAAATTAATGTATCTTGACTAGACATTACAAAAATCATGACTACTGTGTTCGTACTTTCTGATTATTGACAGTCCCCTGTTATTAACCATGATTAAAACATGTTTGTAACGTCATCTGTGACGTTGTAGCTGTACAATAATCTTAAGTTTATTGTAATAACAAATGAATAATAATAATTGTCCACTGTTTGCTAAATAAGTATACATTTAAAATACTTGAATGATTTCCATCTAATAACTATCAAAATAATTCGGATTTGCAGGTGTGTACATTGAATGTCTCACTTGACTCTATCTCCCGTCTCTCACTCGCCTGGTTGTAGTGGCTCTAAATACAAGGAAAAATTAATATTGTTCACTATGAATAAAGTTATATATAATCTCTTCACCTTAACCTGATGTCACAAAATTTATATCTAAATCTTTGAGCTGAAAATTGATAAAAGAATTAAACCTAAATCCTATTAAACCTGTTGATATCCTCAGTGCAGTTGAGGTATGATTTTGCGGTAAATGAACCTGGTGCTCATCGGACTGTTGATCATTAGGGTCACTGAATTGTGCAAGGTTCACCTTATTCTCACGAATCAAACGTGACTTACACACACTATGGTTATCTCAGAATTACGTGCAGAAATTGAATCTTCAGGTCCTTCTCCATTGTATTATAAAATAAAATAATATGTTAATAAAGTTCCAAAATGAACAACTCCTTAAATGGTAACTAAGCAATATACATACAATGAGTACGATATACTGTAAATCTATTGTCTTTTTATTTCAACCACAAATATCGATTTTGCAAATGTAAGAAACATTCGCCAAAAGTTCCTCAGGCATATACCCTTTCAATTTCTGTAAATAGTAATTGTTCAGCTTGAATATTTACTTAAATGCCAAGAACTGATAGCAATTAAACAAAAATAAATATCGTTAACAAATGATCTTCCTGTTGAAGGTATTTCAACTATAACTCATAATTGTACTGTCCTCGTATTCAAATAAAAAAAATGCATTGACTTCGCATTACATAATCGGAAAATGCTGCATGTAAGTATCTCTCTTTTTAATTTCATTTGTAAGATAAACTTGATTTTACCTAGTATTTATATCCTTTCAAGATGCATAAAAAACAAAGCATTTAACGAATTAATGAAAGATATATATAATTTCAACTCTTCATTTTGAATTTACTTCATTAAGAAACATTATAACATCTTAGTAAAATGCATTGGTTACTGGCTAAAAATATTTTCATTCTGTTAATAGAATAATCTCCCTTTATCTGAAAAGATTGTTTTTGAAGAAATTTCAATGTCTATACCTGATCGTAATTGACTTGTAATATTAAAACATACTCATTTTTGTTTCGCCTCTTCGGAGTTGTGGCGACATATAGGATCACTTCTGCTTCGTCTGTCTGTCCGTCTGTCCGTCCGTCACAAAACTTGTCCGGACTATTCATAAACTACTGGTGCAATTTCATCCGAACTTTACGGAATGATCAGTACACTCTCTAGTTGTGCATATCGTGAAAATTTTCCGGTTCAATAATTTTTGTCCGAATTATGACCCTTTAATATTTTTATTTTAAAAAATTGTCCGGACTAATTCTGTTACACTACTGATGCAATTTCAATTAAACTTTACAGGACTGATCTGTAGCTCAAGTCCTTGCGCATATTGCGCGGGTTTTGTGGTTGAATGATTTTTAACCGAGTTATGGTCCTTAAATAAAAAAGGTGATTTTTGTGTGTGTTGACAGATACACAAAAGCTAGTCCGGACTACTTCAGAAAAACTAGTGGTGCAATTACATCCAATTTTTACAGGAATGGTAAGGACCAAGTCTAGGTGTGCATATCGTCAGCATTTTCCTATTCAATGATTTTTGTCCGAGTTTTTTTTTTCTCATTTGTCCGGACTACTCCTCCAGGAATGCAATTTCATTGAAAGTTTACAGGATTGACTGGTAGGTCAATTACTAACACGTATTATACACGGTTTTTCTGCTTGAATAATTTTTGACCCAGTTACGGCCCTTAATGAAAAGGGTGTTGATTAAGTTGTCCGGACTACTCCTCTATACCATTAATGCAATTTCAATTATCTTTATATTACAGGATTGATAGGTAGGTGAAGTACTTGTGAATAATACACAAGTGTTTTGCTTGAATGATTTTTGGCTGAGTAATGGCCCTTGAATAAAAAGGGTGTTTTTGTGTTGCCAGCTACACAGAAATTTGTCTGGACTACTCCTCAGAAACTACTGGTGCAATTTCATCAAAAAGGGAAATGATCAATACCATGTCTAGTTTTGCATCTCATCAACATTTTCGGTTCATTGATTTTTGTCAGTTTTTTTCCCTTTCATAACTTTCATTTTGAAATTCGTCCAGACTACTCCTGTTATACCACTTAAGCAATTTCAATTTGTGTCTTCTCTATTTTGTGTCGTCAATTCAAAGAATCTATGCCGAATTTTGCTCAATTAGAAGTTATCTATGATTCATTCACATCTTATGAGTAGCAATTGACATGTATAATTGACACAAATCTTTATAATGTTTAGACAAGTCAAACATCTCACAGGACTAGTAATGATATCATTTAAATAGAACTAGAATCAAATGTGAGAAACTCATACTCTTCGTGATATAATTGTTAACTTATTTATAAAAAATAGTTGTTATTATTACTTTATTCTAACCATATTCTAATTGATAATCGTGAATACTTTCAAATTTATTTTAGTTTATAGAACAATACACCGTTTGTTCATCATTGTCGGTTTATCGACTGCATGGTATTAGTATAAACAGCAAAGTATAATATTTTTTCTGATTTTAAACGTACAATAACAAACTGATTACCTAAGAATTTTTGGGTAAAACGTATACCCTGGTTTATCGCTGTCTTTTGATGTGTAGCTATATCCTGATTTGCCTCTCTCTCCAGATTTGTTTCTTGATTTGAATCTTTCTCCTGTGTTTCTTTGTGTAGTTTTGCCTTAGGTAACGGATCTGTATTTTCGTCTGTGGCCTCTTGTACTTGATTTGACTCTTGATAGAAAACGATAAAGAAAATTTCCAATTGATTATATTATTTGTGCCGTGTTGCGACTGTTAAAAGTCTCCGTGTACATGAATCAAAGATGTTATATTTTCGATCCTTGAAGATCGTTCAGCACAACATATTTGTTGTGGATACATGTTTCTGGTATTTTAAGTTATGTCATGTTTTATGGTTTGTAACGCATATGGCGTCTGACAAAAATATGCACGGCCTTTCAAATCATTTTTTTTTTAATTGGAAAAGCGCCATTTGTTAATGTTTTATCTAAAGTTATGTTAAATAATATACCTACATTACCATTAGCTTTTAAAATCAGCAAATTATAAAATAACATTTAAAGATTCGATACATCTTTAGTTTACGTTATGTTTGGTGTATAGAATGCAAAATATGTAAAGTCATGTTCGTTTTTCCTCTACTTTGACTTTCATCAAAATACCATCATTTTGTTTTTCTTTTCAATTATTCAAGGGGTGAAGCTAATATTCATACAAATGATAAGTTCTGAAATTGAATAATTAATACCGTCGTTGCAATGCTGCAAAACTAAGTATTTTACAGATTTGATATACTGCATGGATAAAATAAATGTTATAAAATCATGATGGATAAAAAGTGCGAATTAATATAATTTTATTTCAAGACCTGTAAAGGATAATAAATCGCATAAGTTACACACAGTTACATTTTTTGGTTCTAGTATCGTGATGAATATGAAAATAATGTTTGATTTCTACAGGTATTTAAAATAAAACACAGTAAATTCCTCGAAGGAATTATGATTATTTTAATTACATAAATTAATAAAGTATATTTGATAATAACCGTTATTTCTCATTTTTCCTCTGGTTATAATCATTAGCCATTTTGGCTCTGAATATGTAATCCAATGTTTAATCCCAATATGCCAACAAAACCAGAGAAGAGTAGTCTATAAACATTACCTTGTGAATTAGGCGGAACACTTTCTTCGGTCTTGTCCACATCTTGACGTTTTGACTGAAGGTCCGTTGTTGACTGATAGGCAGCACCTGTATATTTTCAAAACACGCATTTATAACTTAAACTGAAAAATCTCAGTTTGCTGCACAGATTGTCTTCAATTTACGAGTGCTACCTACATGCTATTACACAGTCATGTGGGATTGTCGCCATTTGACATATTATATGTCGGTGTGACGTAAATCCCAATCAAGCAAACAAACAAAGATAACAACTGTTTATAAGCGTTAATACGTTCAAACTGACTCATTATATTTTAGTTTACAGAACGATCCATCGTTTGTTTGTACAGATGTTGTTTTAAGAGATGCATGGAAATAATATAAACAGCCAAGTTTAATACTTTTTTGATTTCCAAATGTCCAATATCAAACCGATTACCTAAGATTTCTAGGGTTAACTGATCATTTTCAGTTATCTGTCTTATCTGTATCTCCCGAATTGTCTCTTGATTTTCTTTGTGTAGTTCTTTCTTAGCCACTGAAGCTGTTCTTTCGTCAGTGACTTCTCGTACTTGATAAGATTCTGTTTTGGAAAGACAATGTCTGATGTTTAAACTTTCTAGAAATGTATCTTGACTATACATTACAAAATTCACGATTACTGTTTTCGTTCTATCTGATTATTGAAAATCCCTGTTAATAACCATGGTTAAAACATGTTTGTAACGTCATCTGTAACGTTGTAGCTGTACAATAATCTTTATTGTACTAACAAATGAATAATAGTAATTGTCCACTGTTTGCTAAATAAGTATACAATAAAAAATACTTGAATGTTTTCCATCTAATGTAAATTGAATGTCTCACTTGACTGTATCTCCCGTCTCTCATTGAGAAGTTCTGCCTCTTCCACCGGAAATGTTCTTTCTTCTGTGACATTTTCTTCTTGACCAAAATCTGATAAATGTCAATTCAAATTGATTTTGATTATATGTCTTGAACACACATATTTATTGGGGATATTGAAAATATGTACGTCCGTTATGGAATATCAAACGAGTCGAAAAGTATGCTAGTCTGAGGCCGAGTTAAATACGTTTAGAAATGAGCTACTCAAATACAGTATTGCATCCAAAATTAGAACAGTTTACAATAAACATTTAAGTCCTGTTGGCCCTTACATCACTCGTCTAATTGTAGTTGCTGTAAATACAAGTACAAATTAATATTGAATAACTATGAATAAAGTATAATATAATCTCTTCATCTTAAGTTTATATAACCTGATGTCACAAAATGTATATCTACATCTTTGAGCTAAATATTTATAAAAGAATTAAAACTAAAAATAGACCTGTTGATATCATCAGTGCAGTGGAGGTATGATTATACTGTAAATGAACCTGGTGCTCATCTGACTGTTGATCAATTTGGTCACTGAATTGTGCAGGGTTTTCCATATTCTCACGAAACAAACGTGACTTAAACACACTATGATTAGTTTCTGTTCTGCCACTGCTTATCTCAGAAGAACGTGCTGAAATTGAATATTCAGGTCCTTCTGATATGACATAGTTTCTTTGTATAATAAAATAAAATGATATTTTAATTAAGTAACAAAGAGAGCAATTCCTTGAATGGTAAGTATGCAATATAAATACAATGTGTACGATATACTGTATATCTGTTTTCATTTCATTTCAACCACACTGAAAAACTTGTTTTGTAAAAATATTTCAATATCTATACTTAATTGTAATTGACCTGTTATATTAAATGGTGTCAATTCAAAGAAGTTACACCAAACTTACTGAATTAGAAGTTATCTATGATTCATATACATTCTATAAGTAATAATCCACGTGACATTGTATAAAAGACAAAAATATTTAGTCAAACATCTCATGGGACTGGAAATGACATCCTTAAAATATTAGAACTAGAATAAAATTTAAGAAATTAATATATCAATTTTTAAGCAATCATTCTGACAAAGTCCTCGGTTATTTTGGCTAGAAAAAGTTTTCTCTAGAATGCTACATGTAACAAGGTTTGTTTTCAATGTTTCGACTGTTTTACCTTGTTTTCTTAAACCTAAATGATCTATATTTGAGCTTGAACTTGAAGCCAAACAAAAAAGCTTTCTGACAAATTTCCTTGAAGCCCTATTTTTGATATGTTAGAAATAACAATTGCAGTAGTTATTTTAAAGTAATTTTTGAGATTCAACTTTGTTCTAAAGCGAAAATGAGGCAAATGTTTATTTTTCGAATATAGATGTATACAAATAAAATGATTGTGAATATTATAAGTAGTTTCATTGATGGTGATCACTGCTAAGTTGAAAGCTTCTCTTTCATTTTCAAATCTTATTACGTACTTAATTTTCAGACTGTTCAAGGAAATCATCATTATTAAAGTGCTTGCACAATCCGTAAAGTGAGTATCCGAGCAAGCAAAATTGTAACTTCCATGATCTTTAAGTATATAAACATATCAGTTTGAACACAGGTTGACAAAATATTGGAATTCAGTCAATTAAAGCAATGACTGTCATATATCTATGTATGTTTATACAAACCTGTTTCGTCTATTCTCACTTTTGAGTTTTGTAATTTGTTAGGTTGCTCTCTTAATTCTGTCCTAGTGGCTTGCAAAGTATGCACGGGACCATTTTCTTTAATTTCTTCTTCGGGTCCTATGTCTACAGTGCTAGACACGTTAGTAACTGATCTTCCTTCATTCTCTAAGGACGACACTGGTATACATGAAACAACAAATATATTTCCGCACATCTTTACCACATAATTTGTAATTCAAACAAAAAAGAATTTGATAGGCATATGGTGATTAATACATGTTTTATATTGCAAACATAAATAAAATAATCGAGCTGTTAATGTAAACCATATATCCTGGGACTCAACTGGGCGAACTGTACAGTCAAAAGGAAACTATTGGATTTTGATGCCATTATAAATAATACGACAGGAAATGTGATACTGTTGCCCGTAAATCATCCTTGTTCACACTGGTATATTTTAATACTAATGCATATTCCATTAAGGTAACTTTAAATTATAAAAGATATATAATTAGTATTATCGATAAGAAATTTTAAGTTACTGTAGTCATTGATTAAACAAGGATTTGACATCGACTGTTCTTGTGACCTTGACCTTTTGATCTCAATACGAGTCGTAGACAATATCCCTACCTATTTCGACAAGTCTGGTCATTTTTTTTTCATTTGAGGCATTGAACGGACAAAGATTGAAGTGACCATGGTCCGTAATCGTATTGTCTCAGAATCAGTAAGCGCTAGCCAAGGGAAAGTCCTTGAAGTTTAATATTAATGCTATGGCACAACATGTATGCCTTTTAGAAAAATATATAAATTCAAGACAATGTTTTAAAAATACAATAAAATACAATGAAACAGAAACAAAAAGAAACATGGTATTGATGTAATTTTTACAATTATATCAGAATAAGACTGACATGAAAAGCAACGGTTACCATAATGTGCAACTATTTAACAGTTTTATTACTGATATATTTTATAACACATGTTACTTTTAAATATTATATAATTCAAACCAGGACTGTCCTTATTAATATCAGATTGCTCAGCGTCTCTTCGTAACAATCGACATGTAAAATTTACAAACATCTTTATAATATTTAGACAAGTCGAACAACTCACAGGACGGACTAGAACTGTCATCCTTTGAATATTGGAACTATAATCATATGTATGAAGTGCATACTCTTTGTTAACTTATTTGTTATTATTACTTTATTCTAACCATATGCTAATTGACAATCACTGTTCATAACCGTAAATACGTTCCACTTGACTAATTTTATTATATTTTATAGAACAAAACATCGTTTGTTTACCATTGTCGTTGTAAGAAACAACAACTGCATGGTATAAGTATACCAGCAAAGTATTTTTTCCTGAATTCAAACGAACAATACCAAATTGATTACCTAAGATTTCTTTGGTAAGAGGTATATTCTGGTTAATATCTGTCTTTTGATTTGTGTCTATATCCCCCTCCTGACTTTCTTTGAGTAGTTCTGCCTCAGGCAACGGAGTCATTCCTTCGTCTGTGACTTGTTGTACTTGATAACTCTCTAAAATGAAATTGAAAAAAATACTTTCGACTTGATTATATTATTTGTGCTGTGTGGAGGCTGTAAAAAGTTTCCGCGTACACGCGGTACATTTAATCGAAGATGTTATATTACCGATCTTTGAAGATCGTTCAGTACGACATTATTGGTGTGGATATATGTTTTTGGTATTTTAAGGTCATTGTAACCGACCTTTTCAATTTGAGTGGTTCCTGCATTCTTACTTGAATACTGTATAATCACTCATAGGATATGCTGCCTCCTTTTTAAATTTGTCGTTTGACGTTTTATCTGTGATATGAAGGCTCCATTACTTCTTCTCCCCTTACAAAAATCAATGTTTACAGTTCCACCCATTGTTTCTCGTTAAGGCCACACGCACTCTTTTAATTGGGGACCATATGCATACAGTTGTGATGGCATGGCATCAGCATATGACATTGAAGGTTCCATTGATATTGCCATATGTACGCATCTGTGGATGTTTGTAATTCAAATTTTTTTTACCATTTTCGTGTATAAATGTTGAATTCTGCTTAAGTCGATGCTAGGGGACGTGGACGGTAGGTTGAATTTACCAGTACTGTCTTTGAACAGGCTCAGTCAAACCGAGCTTGCAACATTTTCAATATGAATATGTTGAACTTTCTTTCTTTAGGGATTCTGTTTTTCACTATTTTGTAAAGTTTTCAATATGATTTATAAAACGTAAATATTACTGTTGATGACTTCATAAATTATATATTGAAGATTAATATGATATTCAAAATATCAAAAATTTCCCCAAAGAATTGATCATGTTATTTATTTTTTTATTTATCTTTTTCTTGTTTTGTTTTAAATAAGTAACTTAATACAAGTTTATCTTAATATACAGAAACCCTTATGGTGATCGAATAAAACAAAAAAGTAATTAATACATACATACGTTTACTTAATTACATTTGTATCCAAATATGTATTAAACTCAATTGGTAATCAATACTTTTGTTTTAATATTCATGGACATTTAAACTGAAGCCTGGTAATTTTTAACATAATAAATATGTACATGTCTATTTTTTTAGTTTTTTTCTAGTGTCCACAAAGGAAACAATGGAGGTAAATAATTATCTAATTTTGCATTAAAATTATTAACTGATTAAACTGTCATTTTTTTCAAACAATAGAAGACGTGTGTTTAGAAAAGAACTTCTCGGATGTTCCGTTATAAGACATAATAAACAGATCTCTGTCCTTAACACATGTTCATAAAATTCTAATTTTATTTAAGATTATGAGAATAATACAGCTACCAAAAATACTTCTAAACTGATTACCTAAGTCGGCAGGGGTCACCTTATTATTTTCAATACTCTGTCTATTTTCTTTCTCCAGATTTGTCTCTATCTCTTGATTTGACTGCATCTCTTGTCTCCCATTGAGAAGTTCTACCACAGCCTTGGGAACTGTTCTTTCTTCAGTGACTTCTTCCTCTTTGCCATAGCCTGTTTTTGAATTAAAATGATTAAGAACTATTCGAATTGATAATTGGTAATGAAGCTTTACATCGTTTTGAACACAATTATTCATTGCCGATAATGAAAGAAAGATCGTTTTTGAATTTGAAAGGAATTTAAAATATACTAGTCACAGGCCGAGATCAATATGTTTAGAATTGAGCTTATCAAATACAATATCTTATTTATCGCAAAGAATGAACAGTTTACAATTAACAAGACAACCATGTTTGCCCCAATATCACTTACGTGATAATAAAGCTCAGAATAACATGAACAATAAATAAATGGAACAATATACTTTTAATTATGAATAAAGACAAATTTATATAAAATCTTAAATTCAACCTGATATCACACAATTATAATGTACATCTGACAAGTACACATGAAAAGAAGTGATTTTTCTTTCGTATTTTGACTCTGTAAACTTCACAACCCATGTTCGAACTACCAGTAATAGTTATTATCTCTAAACCTATGTGACAAATTTCTTTGATATTTGAAATGAATATGTAACAGCTAGAGTGTTAGCACGGCTTTTCTTTATAACTGGGTTTGAAGACCTGCTTTGTGCCAGAGGACACATATTCAATAATAAAATCATTAAGGGAACATTACCGACACATTTTTAAACTTAAGCTAAATATCATGTAAAATAAAGTTTCGGACATTTATTTTTATTCTTAATGGTCTGCAAATGTAACAAGATTAATCCATATTTTGGATCGACCTCAGTCATTAAACACGACCCGAAAAAATAATCCAAACAACATTTCCGACAATTCTTCTAACATTTGGTTTTACAAATGTTACCGCCAAAGAGTAACTAGGTTTGGCAATATTTCTAGGCTCTTTGACATTGCTTTAGATGAACAATGTTAAAACTTGAGCCAGATGTCATGAAACAGAGTTTTACATGTAATCACACTATTCCAGGCTAAAATAAGAACTTTGAGAGTGGTAACAAGGATTTTCAATATTTGGGCTGTGTGATCTAGTTTTTGAATCTTAGTTTACCATTATTGGATGTTATTTACGCAATCTTTATGACTAATGCTAGGATTATGTAGGCTGAAATTAAAATTTGTTTAGTGTAAACAAGATTGTTTTCATACTTTTGCATTGTATCTAGTTTTTCACCTCAGATCACTCATGCTCAAACGTAAGCTTGCAATCAACTGACAAATTCATAGTTCATTTTGGCTGACAATGATACTTACATACTTGTTACATGCAACTAGTTTTTTTCCATATTTATGTTGTGCTATCTTGTTTTTTTGGCTCACAAAATGGCGGCCTAAACGCTCGGTAAAAGCAGTCAAATTGAGGAAAGCATACAGTTAACGTTAAATTTATATGTAAAACTAGGCCGCACGGAATCCCTGTATAAAACCCACGTACTGTTCTGTTGTTGGTTACTTTGTAGCTCTCTCTGTTTAGGCCTGAAAGTCGAAAAAGTTGTTTTGGGTGATGAGTACAATGGCCGAACAGGTACTAAAGTACGTTGTTTTCAGTAGAAGAAACGCATATTTTGAGCAAAATTAGCAATGACATCTTGTGCACAATCGGAAGTATGTCCGTCCAGAACATTTTCCATCCTTTGTACAGTTGCATAACGAAGATGTACATCTTTTTAAAAACGAGTACAATGGCCGAACCAAATTTAATGAGTACAATCAATGGCCGAACGATTTTATTGCCTATCCTATTTCGTCAAATTTTTCATTGAATTATGCTTGTTTCTTGCTTCCTGTCTTTGAAATCATACAATTTGAAATATGATATTTGAAAGTAAAAAGTAGGAAAAAGTATTAAATTAAATGAATTCAGTTTGCTTGCTATAAATTCTCATCTAAATAGTATTTTGCTTTAATAACACACGTGTACATCAGCGTAAAAGTACTTAAAATACAAAATTGAAATACAAACATGTCTATTAAATAGAATTTATTTCACCAGCAAAATATCTGTTTCAATTACATACGTAAAATTGTCAATTACTTTGGAAATAAAGTCAGGTTTTCTGCTTTTTTATTTGTCCTTGTTGTGGTTTTCTGTATTTCAGACGCAGAAAAAGAAGTTCCTTTAAATGAAAAGCATGTTTACGTATATCTATGAAATATATACACGTAATGTATATATTAGATTTTAAAATTGTGCTTATATTATCGTTAAAGCTACATGCCTCCAGATGAGTCAAAATAGTTCAATAAAATCAAACTTGAGGAAAATGTACTTAGATGTAAGGAAAAGTAAACAGTTTCAAGATTCAAGTAATAAAGGCTATTTAAGCATATTTTTACCACTTTTTGGTAAAATACGTAATTTGTAAATGTCATTGATAATGTGTAAATTGCTTCCTTTTGGTAAATATTACACATTCAAATACATTTTCAAAATTTTCATGAAAATTAGCATGAAAATTAGAATCTGGGGGCGTGCTGCTTTAAATACTTCATCACACCATATTAAGTAATCCAATATCTTTATTTCTTATGTGTTTATTTGCCGGCATTATGGCAAATCGTATAGAAGACGATCAGCTCCATGTCGTCACGAGCAGGTACACAAGGGGAAGGTATCCCATACATGCTGTGGGACATGGTTCCTAAGTTTAGGCAAATTGGAAAGACATTGGTTTGTAAATTGCATGTTGTACATGAAGTGCATAGCTGTCTGATATATCTACATACGGCTTGAGTGTCAAAGATGGAGAAAAAAAACCACAAGGAAATGGTTACATGTAAATAAAGAAAAGCTATTAAGATAAACCTGGAGCAATATATTGCCCCAATATCTGCTATAAGCAGCGACATACAATGTACTCTTTGTGTTGAGAAATGAACGCATTATATATGTTTCTAAATAGGTACAATTAAAGTACAAAATATCTTATGAGGACAGATATTAAGAAACCCGGTTATTATAGCTCCAACACCGTTAAACACAACATGGGAGCTATATTTACATCAATAAACTGATAGTATCTCTAAATTCTTATTTGTTTCAGTTATTTCAATGCAAAAACAAATTTGACCGAAACTGCATCAGTGCGAAGAATGTGACTGATCTTTTGCGACAAAATCTAAACTTGAGCTACACAAGTTATCCCATGCTAACCCACTCTAACTTGCAACATCCGCCCAAAGCTTTTCGAATTAGGGCAATGCTGATTGAACACCTTTCTTCCCATTCCGGCAAATAGAAACACAAATGTACATATGGAAGAGCCTACGTATATAGTCAGGGTTTGAGTAATCACTGACTAAAGTGTGTAATATCAAAGCAAACTCAGTGAAACTTTGTTTGTTTAGTCATTGTCACAAAAGTGCCTCTTATTAGGTCATCAGACTTTGTTTTGGCCATATCATGATATTTTTGTCACGTGCAGAAACGTCAATAAAGTTTACTGAGTGAATAACTTGTGTTGCTTAATCAGATTTTGTCGCAAACTGACTGCCTGAAACGGTGTTGATCCGCCATGGCTGTTTGCTCTGAAACATCTGAAACACATTAGAATTTTAGAAATACTATCAGATTACTAATGTAAATATGGTTTCCATGTTATGTTTAACGGTGTTGGAGCTTTTATAACTGGCTTTCATAATTTTCGATCTCATAAGAAATGTTGTACTTCAACTGAATCCTTTTAGAAACATATGTAATGCGTTCATTTCTCAACACACAAGGTACAATGTATGCCGCTGCAAATAATAGGGTAATATATTGCTCCTGGATAACCTTATTTCGTTTTCTTAATACATTTTTTATGTAACCATTTCTTTGTGTTCTTTCCATCTTTACCATACAAAGATGTAGAGATATCAGACAGCTATGTACTTCTTGTATATGTAATTTACAGACCTATGTTTTTGCAATTTGCCGAAACTTAGAAACAATGTCCCACAATGTGCCTTCCCCTCGTGAACCTGCTCGTGACGACAAGAAGCTGACCACTTCTATACGATTTGCCATAATGCCAGTAAATAAACACAAAAGAAATTCCTGTTAAGATATTGAATTACTTAATATGGTTTGATGAAGTATATAACGATAATATAAATCTCTGGAAAAAAGTGATCCCTCGGAAGCATTAATCACAACAAAAGTACATAAGAATTGCAGACTCGCTTTAATTGAGCACAATTTTAAAATCTAATATATACATTACATGTATATATTCGATAGATATACGTAAACATGCTTTTCATTTAAAGGAACCACTTTTTCTGCGTCTGAAATACAAAAACAAAACAAAAACAAACACACAAAAACAAAAACCAGACTTTATTTCCAAGATTTATGTAATTGAAACATATATTTTGCTGGTGAAATAAATTATATATAATGTACATGTTTGTATTTCATTTTTGTATCTTAAATACTTTTACGCTGATGTACACTTGTGTTATCAAAGCTAAATAGTACTAAGAAGAGAATTAATAGCAAGCAAACTGAATTCATTTAATTTAAAACTTCCTCCTACTTTTCACTTTCAAATATCATAATTGAACGATTTCAAAGACAGAAAGCGAGAAACAAGCATAATTCAATGAAAAATTTGACGAAATAGGATAGGCAATAAAATCGTTCGGCCATTGGACTCATTAAATTTGGTTCGGCCATTGTACTCGTTTATAAAAAGATGCAACACTTCGTTATGCAACTTTATAAAGGATTGAAATTGTTCTGGACGGACAAACTTCCGATTTCGCAGAAGATGCCATTGCTAATTTTGCTCAAAATGTGTTTCTTTTACCGAAAACAACGTATTTTAGTATCTGTTCGGCCATTGTACACAATACCCAAAACAACTTTTTCGACTTTCAGGCCTAAACAGAGAGAGCTACAAAGTAACCAACAACAGAACAGTACGTGGGTTTTATACAGGGATTCCGTGCGGCCTAGTTTTACATATAAATTTAACGTTAACTGTAAGCTTTCCTCAATTTCACTGCTTTAACCGAGCGGGTCATTTTGTGAGCCCATTGTACGATTTTGGTCACGTGATCATCCGCAGTGATCAATAAAATGTGGTACCCCCATGGGCCTCCTTTGAGATTGAGTGAAAAAATTGCTCCGTAAATTACTAAAGGCGTTAACATCAACTTTTAAGGCTATACAGTTCGCGGGATTGCTTTACATTTACATGTCATTAACAACATAATTTTTAGATTTGGCAATGTTTTGTCGATTCGCTTTAGGTGATATATTCCGATTTTTGTTATGTGTATTCTTGAGTAAATGCATTTAACTGGTATTGAATCATCAATATAGTCTGGATAATTTTAAACCAGCCCTTGTATTTATTATGGGAAATATTCTGACGACTTGTGGAGCAAATTGGGGTGGAATGTGACGACCAGCTGTTAACCGACAATGCATGAACGGACGACAGACGAAGGACATTTATCGATCCTAATAGTTCACCCTCAAGTATAATTTAATAATTTTAATTTCATAGCCGTGCTAGAATGTTATATTTACATTAGATAATTTCACGTTTGTTTTAAAATCGCATATGGCATCTTGCAAAACAAACGTATATGCATGTCCTTACAAACCTTTTTAAAGAGTCAGAAAAAGGGGCATTTATAAGTGATTTATATGAAGCTAATTTATGTTTAATACTACCTGTTGTATAATTATATTTTCAAATCAATAATTTATTGTTAGAAAATTAAAAATTCGATATTCTTTAGTTTATGTGATGTATTTGTGTAAATAATAGCTTGTTCACATGTTCGTTTTTCCTATACTTTGACTATGCTCCTATTATTATTGTGTTTTACTATATTTCGAGAGGTGGAGCAAAAATCAATATCAGTTTTATTATGATTATGACTATCAATGTCCCTGTATTGCAATAGACCATAGCGACCTTTAGAAATTGTTCAAAACAAACGTCATGAAATAATAAAAGAGGGGCGATAAATTTAACCGTGTTTTATTGATAACTAATCTTTTATAGATTAAGGGTGTAACCAGTACCAGTCGACAAATAAAAGACAACGTTGCGTAAAACAAATATGTTATAGTCATAGTACATGAAACGAGTTAGTTATGAGGCCGAGACATTTTTTTTGCAGAAACATCCCGAGATGTCGCCCCAGCCAGTGTTATACCCCCGTAACTAACGAGTTTCATAAACTATAACTGTTTTATCGCAATGCCATAATGTTTTCTTTTTTAGTAAAATAAATAAATAAATAAATAAATCGTTAGCTACATTATAGTTATTCATGATAAGGTAGTTGTTATTTGTTTGGGTCGTCAGACCAAACAAATAATGGTAGCGAAATTTCAGACACTGATGCTGTTAATTGCAAATGCCGAAAGTAGTCCGCTTTTTGAAGCGGTTACTTCTCTTTATATGTACACTAACTATATGTAACAATCAGGGAAGATCACTGCGTAAAGATGGTCAAATGGCAGGCGCATTAATTTTCAAGCAAAATAGTTCCCGAATGGTCGAAGATTTCTAATATTGTTTTATTCTTTATAGATAAACATGCTTATAGTAAGCTCCATGATTATTTACATCTGGGTTAAACAACAGTTAGCGTCGAAATAATAAAGGTTACAAACCCTAATTTAAAATAATATGGTTTTCCTCAGACCGTTAACATATAACTTCACCGTGGCCGAGGGGTTCGCTCGCTCGCTTTGGAAGCGAGAGGTCTGGAGTTCAAATCCTAGTTAAGGCAACTCATTTTTTTTCAAATTGTTTAAGTCAAATAAACATTGAATTGAATATCAGTGTTGCAATAAGACTTATAGCCAATTTACTACAATTAAAACACCGGAAAGCATTGGTGGCACTATATAAAAACAAATTGGTTTATAATCTCACAACCTTCACCTTTCTGACATTCTGAGACCCAAACAAATTCAGCGCCTTCTGTGCTTTGATTTTAAGTTGTTTTCGCTGCCGCAAAAAAAAGATATACAAGTCTAGTTAGAGACATCCAATGTTAGAGGCGAATTGTAAACTGTTACCAATATTGATTCATTTTAATTAAAGGGCATTTTTCAGTTAAAATAATTCATTCGGTGGATGTACCTTTTTGATTAAATGAGAGTAAATTTCGTTTCATTAATTATCTTTGTTTATATTTTTCATTGTATTTATTTATTTATTTATTTATTTTATTTTATTTTATTTTATTGATTACATTTTTTTTTGCTACTGGGTATGTTCGTTACCACTGCTCCATTGGAGCCTCTGCGAAAAAAAACTTCATTGATATATAACAGGTGCGAGAAAAAACCGATATATAACAGTCCAGTTTTTTTCCTATATGAATCAATGAAAAAACTGTATTGTTATATATCAATACAGTTTTCAAATGCTCATTGAAGTGTACTGAGTAAAATGGGCTAGTAAGAACAAAGGAAAAGTTCCAAACCATGCGATAATACGTGTTATTAAAAGATAAATAAAAAACTTTGTGTCAAAAAGAAAACGACTTTGACTGGCATTTTGCTGCAAATTCGTATAAACATTTACGCTCCTGAATGTGGAATCGAATGGTGAACAAGTTTTGTATTTTCAATCCGCTTTGCAGGGTTTGACTGTATGAAAAGGGAAATCAAAAAGCTTTTAAAACTATCTTTTATTATTTTCAAGAATTATATTTTGGTCACTTAGTAACAGTTTTTTTTTAAATGAAGGATATTGGAGTTTTCCTTATCATCATACAACAAATTAATTTTTTGATCACTTTCACGCAAAATTCTAAAAGCACTAAAGGCTAAATGGCTGTAAAATCATATAAGCACGTAGGTAACAGGAATACAGAGCAAATCCTATGTCTTTACCACGAAGTGATAATCCTGAATGACTTTTTGTCGAAATAAAAAATTATACATAACTTTTTTCGGGGGGGGGGGGGGGAGGGGTATGAGACCCTTAAATCTATCAGGATTATGAAACAAATAGGAAACATAAAATGAACTTTTAAAAACCCGTACTTACTATTTCTGTTTAGCTCAGTCGGAAGAACGTCACCATTTTGCAAACCTTCACTTGACAACTCAGAAGATGCATGTGGTGTTCTCTTTATTAACCTTTGGTACTGGGATAAATTAGTGTTCCTTTCTACCACTTTTGAACTTTGTATTTCCTGCCGAAACACTGTCTTAAGTTCGGTCGTGTCCTGTGAACTATCAGAATAATCACCTGTTGCATGACTATTTTCATATCCTTGTTCAAAATTGGTTTCACTGTTTGTACTGTGATTACGATATGTTAGTGCTGGACACTCTTCACTTAAAAGAGGAATACTTTGTCCATATAATGGATTTACGAGCTCACCATGTACTTGGCTCTGATCTCTGCTTTCAATTTCACTCATTTGATTCCGGATTAAAGCCGGTCTCACTTCGAAAGTGCCATAATGTATATCTTCCAATGGACGGTTAATCAGTGGCACTGGGAGATCAGCTTGCGGAAGAATTCTGATTATCTCATAGCTTTCTGTTTGCTGACTTTCCCTGTCACTAAATTCAGTTCTCATTGACGAAGCCGGTAAATAAGTTGGTCCTGTTGGGTTTTGTCTTAGATATTCTCTTAGAAACTGAAACATGTCATTGATTTGTATGTTTACCGTGGATTGTTGTACACAAGTTGGTGAAAACTGACGATGAATATCATTTGGATTATCTGTTACTTGCCAGTTCCCTCTTCGATAACCACAACGGTAACAGATAACAACATCTTGATAACTGCTGTAGTAGAACCCAGCTCTTATAAACTCATGGATAGCAACTGCAGAGTTAGGAAATAAGTAGAAAGATATATATCTGACAAATTCGTTACGCATTTCTCGACTAGTGAATCTTCTGTTAAAGTAACAACTTATAATGATACTTATTATCTGGAAAGACATCCGTGGATCTAAAACGAAGTCAGGGAAGTCTTCAGTTGGTATAAAATCCCCACGATTGTTATTGTCACTCATGATGGACTGATGATGAACAATGGAAACTGAAAGTAAAAAAAAAATTGTGTATACTCGTATCATATTATATGTTTCTATTAGATCACTGCTAAGTCCAATTATGTATGGAAAATTTAATCATTCATCAGACGGTTGTTAGATATTTTGGTATTTGAAGTAATTAGTAAGGAAGGCATTGCATTTAAACAGAAACGCAATGAAGTAAAGATAAGAATCATCTTCAACTTAATTTTAAAAATACTTTTAAATATCTGTAAAAGACGGTTAAAGCAGCAGGTCTTCCGATTCATGCTAATTTTCATGAAAATTTTGAAAATGTATTTAAAATTAAAATGTTGTTAGTAACCAAATTGAAGCAATAAACACATTACAAGCATCACTCACTACCCACGTAAATTACCAAAATGATGCCAAACTATTCAGAAATAGCATTTACTGCATTAGTCACGCAAAGAAATATGGTTTTAAATACTGCAAAGTCAACCAAAATTCGCAAACAAAATGTAAATTTTTACTTAAATATTTAATGTTTTTACTTTTTCTAAAATATCAGTACATTTTATAAGAATATTTTGGCTCATCTGGAGGCATGCATCTTTAAATATTTTCATTACAGGATAACTAGTACTTTATGCCTTTTTGCTTATCTTATTTTGACTTAAACTGTCCGGAATAATTTTTAAAAAAGCCAGAGATACTAATTCTTATTTAGAAAATCAAACGAGAAGTCAAATCGATGAAGTAAAAGTCTAAATTTAATGTAATAAAAATAATTTAAAAAATGTCATTGTAATTATTATAAAAATCAATACCCATATATGTTTTTATTGCACATTCAAACAAACATAAAAAATAAACACACATGCCCACCTATGGATTTATATTCAATTAAAGTATACATCTTTCCAATAAAATTTTTAAAAATCTTCATGTATTTAACCTACAGTCAATTTAAAATGCATATGCATTCAAAATCTATTTCCATTGCTCAACAAATCTTATCACAATAAAACCAGAATTGATGATAGTATTTACATCAAATTTTCTGTGTAAAGATTTATGACATAAACTTAACCCACATGTAAAACAATATTTAAGCCATTTTATCTTCTTTGTATTTTTTTTTGTTTGTTTGTCACACCGACACATTATAGGTCATATGGTGACGTTCAAGCTTTCTTGCATTATTTCAGGCACGAACAGGCACCTAAGTAGAACAACCGACGTTCCGAAAGCTAGCTGGATGGCTTCCACACCAATTCATCTTTAAACTGTTCATATATGTAGTAATCAAAAAAATCTTTTATCCCTTTTTAAACCAGATTTTTCATCTTTTTTGTCTTCCGTTTCATATAAACTTTATCAACATATTTATTTTCAGAAACAAATTGATGAATTTGGTAAGCTCATTAATTCATAAGTCTAGTGAGGCACAATGTAGTACAATTGATTACAACAGTAGGTCTTTCTTACTTTCTAATATGGTCATATTTCCTCTTTTCTAAAGACTTATCATATTTTAACATTTGACACTTTATGATCAAATTCTTTTAGGTTTATATCAAAGTATATACCAAAAATGTTGAAAGAAGTATAACCCATGATTATCATAATTTACACAGATCTCTATGAATATCTTTTTCATTCGATCAACACTACTTGCCTGTGTCTGATCATATTTAACTCTTAATAAAAACAAAGTCACAAATATCTCTAAACTTAAAAACAAAACATCAAATACCATCTAAAAGGAGAAACATAATCTACATAATGTAATATCATCTTGTATTCTATATCAATAAAAACACATTTAATATATTAACAATTTCTTATCTGAACAGACAAATATATGTAGAGTAAAATAGGGACAACTTTTCTACTACTTCTGCTGACTTTGAAGAACATTGACAGATTGACAGTAAAAATACAACTTCAAATTGGTTTTCTCTTAGCATTTTTTTTTATTAAAATCACTTCCTTTATGTTACTTTTGAAACCTAGACAATTGTAAGAACCCATTTACAAATGAGTCATAATAATATAATCTTAAAAAAAACAAATTCGGGTTACTTCAACGAATTTAAGAAAAAGATATTAATAGTAACATTCTTTAACAACTTTACATTTTTATAACCATATAATTATTATATTTTACGTGTATACAGAACAATTTGAATACATAAAATTATATTTAGAACACTCGTAAGATATGTTACTAGTTATTGATCTATTTAACACAACTGTTATTACTGTTATTACTGTTAAACTTTAGTTGGACCGTAAAGGTGTATTCACTTTAACCTTTTTCCTCATATAGACGTGTTTTGACGACTTTTTTCCACCCCAACCTCTTTAGAGGCCTAAAACAGTGAAAAATGTCCTATTTAGGCCCCAAACACTGTTTTTTGTTTGAGAAATGCTGTTAAAAAAGTGACCACTTTTTCGGCGCGGCCCCCATCAAAAAGATACTTCAAGGGGTTGCCAGAAGGGGAATGTGCCCCCTTCTGTTTTGGGGTTTAAAGAGGGGCGGGAGTCCTCCTTATCGCAGAAAAAGTTTGAACATGTGACAGGCTAAAAAATGGCCTCTGGTCGATCTTAAGGTGATGTGTAACTAACGCTGAAAAGCCTTGAACTCTGTCTCAATGTATTGAGAAGTTGCAGCACTTTGAAATCAGTTTTGATGTAAAAACATCAATGCAAAAGAGTGATTTTTCGCAATTTTGAGACGTCCCTCGTTGCCATGGTAACAGAAAATTTAAGATTGAGCATGTTGGTACATTTAACATATGTGTCAAGTTTCATCAGTATTTAAGCATTTTTCATAGTTTTATAGCAGTTGGAACTTGAAAAAGGAGGCTTTTCAATGAAAACGGCCAGTTTTCACAAAATGCTAATAGGTAAAAGATTAAATAATAGCTTTATTGATCGGTAGATTTAATTTAATACAATATAAAAATGTGAAATATGAACTGTTTCAAATTCATTTTCACAAAAGTTGCTATAGAGATATGTTAGTACTGTATATTATTATTCATGTTTTTCCCCGATTACTTTTTTAATTCTTTATATTCATCTTCTGGGAAATCCAAAGATAAGTAATCAATAACTTAAGTTTTTAAATGGTAAAGTAAATTACAACTTTAAAAAATTGACCAGTTAAATTGATTTATAAGACGTGATTGATTTATTTTGAATTTAAATTATATTCAAAGAAACAATGACAAAAAATGACAAAAACAACACATGTAATCCAAATGGAAATTTAACATATTTTTAAATTTTAGATGCACAAATGAAGAAGTTCAACCATGTTGTTATAATACTATTTTTCTTAACGCAAATACCAAATAGCATATATAGCAAGTGTGTTACACTAATATGTTATCAAACAATCAATCATGTAGACTGCAATTATGTGGTAATACTTCAATCAGACATCATATAGAACATAATTATATGTGTGATATTACTACAATCAAATATAAATTTGTGGTATTTCTACAATAAGATATAAAATTTGTGATATTACTACAATCAAATATAAATCATCTAATAATATTAATGTGTAGCACTTGTATGGTACCGCTACATTTTAATAACAAACATGCAGAACATAATTGTGTGGCATAACTACTATAATTACTATCAAACTTTTAATCATACAGAAATATAGTGTACCCATTTCCAACCATATAGAACAACACATCTGTGGATAACTCACATCCACATATCAATATATAAAAACAAACCAAACATTCAGTCTATTAAAAAAATATCAATCCGGTAGAACATATATTAAAGATATACTATGCTCATCTTTGTTGAAATCTATGAACTTTTTACCTTTTTACTTAATATATTTAATTTGAATGAAAGAATATACAAATTACATTCCCTAGTATGGGTAAAAAACAGATGGTCCTTTCTTAAAAAGGCTGCCATGTTTTGTTTTCTTTTAAATATCGATCTATATTTATATGAGGCACCTACAGTTTAAAACAAAACAAACATACTTTGAGTGAAGTCAAAACACGTTTAGTTTATATTTTTGACAGAGAATATTACTGTTTAACAATTCAAAATATTTTCAAGTTTAAAATTTGAGCATCTTTAAGTATCACCACAATTAAATATGAATCAAGAAGATATTTGTGGTAGTACAACCATCATGTTTCAATTATGTTACATGTGTGATTCTACTACCATCAAATGTCAAATATGTAATATGTATGGTTCCATGACCATAAAATACCAAATGTGTAAAATGTGTGGTACCAAAATGAATAAAATTATTGATATGTGCAACTGGTTAAAGAAATGAGGATATAAATTCCTTTCCTAGTCAGTTTCTCAGAATAGGAAGTAAATTGATAAACACTCTGGCATAAGTTTAACACTTAATTTGAGTATGATAGAACACAAAGACATAGATTGGTTTCAGAAAATGGCATTGTTTACACTTACCAACAGCCTTTCAGTATTACATACATGTATTTTGTTATGTATTTTGTTATGTTGTTACTTTCTGTTTGTTCACAACGATAACATAAACAATGCTATCTTAAAGATTTGTTGCTTACCAATGAAAAATTAAAAATAAAACCAAATGAAACAACAAAAATGAAATGGGCGACGCCAATTCGTCATGATATAAAACCAGCAAGAAACTTCCCCGTCCTACAGAAATGAAAATGAATCATTTAAAATTCACTTACAATATTTCAATCAAACATATTTCAACCGATTTTGTTTAAAATCTGGCTGTCATATAGGAATAATTCTAAAATATTGTCTCATTTCCGGGTATATATTCCTATGCGGCAGCCATTTTGTTAAATGATATTGTTATAATAGATCCGGGCTAAATAATATTGTAATAATCTCCGTTGTGCCGCATTTTAACCGTGTGATCATAACAGATAGAGAAATTGTACTTGCAATTTAAAGATTCTTTATTGATAAATTGATCAATAAAAAAGCCATATTTTAGTATGTTTACATTTTATATCGCAATAACTGTTTTATGTTCAATTTTTATGTAAAATAAAATAAAGTATCAGTATAATTTCGTCCATCGTATCTAACTACCTGTATCCGGTACTGATCATACTTTGTAGGTCTTACCCCGGTACGGAATTAGACCCAACCCGTTATAGTCTAGAAAGAAGTTATTTAAATTTTTGAAGTTGCCCAATTTAAGTTCTCTCTAGTCTGATTGGTCATAATTAAAGTGTATTTATTGCATGTGTGTAGTTTTTTGTGTGCTATAGGATGACTTTAAAACTTGTTTTTTGTGTATTTTTCAGGCACTCATTTGTTGGAGGTAGGGTTAAAATGTACTACCCACCAGCATTCAGGAGTTTTCAAAGTGGTGAATTTAAACAGTGTTAAAACTAAATGAAGATTTTGAAAAAAGTAAATGGCTAACATATTATATTTCGGGCCTCATTTGACTTAGATAGTGTTGATGATTAAAGTTGAAGACAATATATAATTCACCAACAACAGTGGAATTGAAAATTAAGCCTCAAATGTGACTAATTTTAATACTGTAGAACAAAGAATACGAAAAATCACCAGGCCGACACATACATAAAAAATGAGAAAAATAGGATAGTTGATGGATATTGACGAAACTTCGCATTATTGTTGTGTTTATGCATAGAAAACAAGATAATGCAGGATAACTCACAAGTTTAAAGTTTTTTTAATTTTAACTCAAAATTTTAATTTTGACATTTTAAATTTGGACATAATTATATTGTTGTTGTAATATCCCTTTCAAATGTAGATGTTTGTAACTGTGTCAGTGAGTAGGGGGGAGGGTACAGAGCTTTTGCATGAAAGATATATCACATGTTATTGAATTAAAACTGTGAAAATGAATTAAAAATTAAAAAATGAAATTTAAAATTTGTATAAATCAGTTTATAAATTAATACATTTTATTTTTGTTTAACAAATTATATGTATACAGTATCTGGCTTATTTGCATTTTTTATAAGATTTATATAGAAAATGATTATTTTTTTAGAGAAGTGCATCTTAAATTATGGACAAACTATGCATTGCAAGGAATTGGGGAGTGAGTGTTTTCAGACTGGTTACATTGGAAAAACAAGTGATTATCAAGCTCATTCCAGAGATCTCAGGGGCCAAACAAACATCTGCCATGGGATTCGAACATAGCACCATAATAGCCTATTGCTCATATGGACCACACATTATAGGCACTGATGTTTCAGCAAAGGATTAATGCAGTAATTATCAATATGTTTACATATTCACTATTGTCTTGCATTTCAATGAAGCAGAACTGACAATTGAACAGGACAATGTGATTTAACTTGTTGGAAATATAGGCATTTTCAGTGTGGTGAAACTTTTAAGTCTTGCTGTGTTGCAGAGTGTATTTGTTAATATATACACATAAAAGATTTTCTAGTCATTTAACAGTGTTTATGGATAATTAGCTCATTTGGAATAACACAGTTGGTGTGATTGTTATTGTTGTTGTTGTTGTTGAAGCTGCTACAGCAGTTAAGTTAGATTAGTTTATAAAGTCTAAACTGCTATTCCAGGCATGTTGCATTTTTAAGCACACAATATTTGGCCCTCCGTTGTGAATTAACAAATCAAGCCATTAATTTAGACATTATTTTCTTTTTCTATATCAGAATTTCACCACAAATGCCTCTTATAATTCCCTTCAACTAGTGTTACATATTTTTTCAGACCTTGCAGTTACCAAAGCCTGATTTTCCGTATAGGCCCTTTCCTTATCCTGGTTCAGATCTGTGGAAGAACTCCTACAGCTTAGTTTGGCAGCAGCTTTGTCAGGACACATTGAGGAGGTAACAGCTTATGTCTAGTTTGAAACTTTAGCTAGTGATGCTAACGACTCTAAAAGCTCGGGCAATATTTGGTAGATATTTTGATGCATATGAGAAGAATTTTTTTCTAATTCGGACTATTTTAAAACTTCTCAATGATTTAAAGTGGGAAACAGTATTGTGCCATCATTTAAAGCCTTATTTGTGTGAGAGTTTGCTAATCTTACTTTGTCAAAAGACATAGCCTATGGTGGCATGGTTACCTCTTTGCTTACCTTAAGATTACCATTGTTTGTCTTTATTGATATCTTAAGCAAGCAATATAGTGTATTTATGTTCGTACTTTACTTTATTTACCATCTTATATAGGTAAAAGTCATAATCAGTAAGTTTAATACAATATTGAAAGAAAAATATATCAAAAAGGCACATTTAATTGTGATCACTTGTATTTTAACCGAAAATTTCATGTTCTCTTTATAAGAAATGGAGATTCAGTTACAATGTTAAAGCAATTAGCTCTTATTCTTTATAAAATAACTACATTAGCCTGTAACATAAAACTTTATTTGAAAAAAGATCCATTGACAGAATCAAAAGATATGACAAGATTTGTAATATAAATATTTGCGTAAAATTCTTTTGGCCTAGGCTGATTTTTCGCATGAAAGTTTACATTTAAGAAATGGTACTGCATTAAAGTATTTTGTTAGAGACATGTCAAACCTATATGATACCTACACTAAATTACTAGGGGAGGATTATATGTTTTGGCTTATTATTTGAAAAAAGTAGATGGCTAACATATTATTTTTCGGGCCTCATTTGACTTAGTGTTGATGTTTGAAGTTGAAGACAGTATATAATTCATCTGTTACTTCTGGATGGAAAAATTGTGTAATATTACACCTGGACACAAAAACTTGAACTACTTGTATTTCGTAGATTCTAAGACAATCCCTTCATTGCAAGCCTTTTCACATACAAATTGTATTCTATGCTAGAGGATAATAAAAAAGGTACATACCTTAAGAGACAGTTTGGTTTCCCCAAACAACTGGTTTCACTATGTCACACTTTCTTGAATATGGATTTTCCAATTTGTTAAGATATAAAAACGGTAACGTTTGTAATTAAAATTCGCGATATGTTTTGTAATCCCCATTTGATAACAAAGTATGAAATAACGTTTTATCTAGTATATATCTAATCAAATTTACTGATTATTTGAGGCGAAGGAGAAGGAATTCAATGTGGTATAATTCCATATTTAAAATATTGTCTGATTAATTATGAAGAATATGTCAGTCTGTGAAGGAGAGGTGTGTTTTCAAACGCCACATTTGAGAAAAATTCATAAATATCAACAGTTTATTGCTAAAATATTCACCGCTAAAATTTGGTTATTTCTGTGTTGACATATCATTCAATGTTCTATCATTGTTTCTGCTTCCGGACATTTCTCTTATTCATTTTGTTACTTTCCTGTCTATTTGTCGTTTCATGTGATAAATGTTTTGGTCATTACAACTATATTAACTTTCCAATTCAATACATTTTGTTTCCTTACAATTAGATAATTATATTTTTCAGTACAAAAATGGCACAATATCTCGGTAATTCACAATCACATTTTTCACCCTTGAATAACTAAATCCAGTTTATTTATGTCTTTAAAAATGAAGAAGCTTTTTTTCAGATTCCAGAAATGTATGTCTAAAAGCACGTCATTTTCTTCAATCTGTAAAATAGAAAATTTAAATATTTTATTATACAGATATAACGAACATACATGTATAAAATAAAGTACAGCAACTGTTAAACTGATTGTGACAAATCATTAGCAAATCTGGGTATTTAATGACTTAGTATAGTAACTTTATATAGTACTTTATCGTAACAACGCAGTACAAATGGTGACTGATTTGTTTCTATAATTATTTTTTTCAGCGCGTCACAAGTACGTCACAAGTCTAAATATAGATTGACAACAGTGATTTCGGTGCATATTTACACACTTTTGGTCTTACTACATATATGTAAAATGGTCGTGCTAGAATATGGCATTCATTACAGAAGTACTAAGTAGTTTGTATTGATATTACATGCATATACGACTTCCAAATAAAAAAGAATATATTTGTTTGTTTTATTGATAATGCTACAAGAATATGCTACAAGTAGTGAGATATTGTTAAGCTTTCATGTGCGTTTTATAACATATTCACGAAAAACAAACTTTTCATTTTATTTCATGCCAAATAAGTACCATAATAATTTTTCACCGTTTCCATTGTAGGAAAATGACACACGTAAAGAAGATAATACCAGTCGTTCAACGATTACCCGAAAGCTGTACAAACAAACTTAATTCAGTTACTTTTGCCATAATTGTTGAGCAACAAATTTCAGATTTAGAGAAAAAATGACATTTGAATAGAGACATATACTATTGAGAACACACGCACAAATTAACGCAAATGTATAATATTATTTACACATCTCCGGAATCATAACACCAAAATAGTTCGGCGGAGCTATATCGCTCACACTGCTTTTATTATAATGACAGCAAACAGACCATAATTTTGACTATGTTCAGTTCAAGATGAATTTTGACGACTTGCTTTATTAGTTATGAAAAGTCAGTATTAATAAGTATTTATACAGAATAATGAAATCCACAAAAAAACTTTTATACAAGTTGCTGTTTTCAAAAGATACAAAATAGCTTGTTAAAAAAATATTTAAAAATATGTTGTCATATCTATTGAATAATGATAATATAACAACTGCACCGTGGGTAAGCAACTTTGGTCATGTGACCACAAAAGTCAACGTACACGGCCAAAATAGCTCGGCTGAGGTAAGTTTTTAGTGATTATTTTTCTGTCCAGCCGATTTAAATTATGCTACATAGCCTACCGACCGCGGCAGTTCCGATGCTTTCTAAAAATGTGTTTAGTTTCGTCTAACGTGTTGTAATTTATGAGAACATTCAAACAATATTTGCAAATTGTCGATGACAACGTACACACTATTGTGTAAAAATGTTGAATGAAAACTTAATAAACGATATGCATGTCAGTTCTAAGTAAAATTTCTGGTCTTAAAACATATAAGAGAATGTTTTAATGCAAAAAGAACTGGTTTCCTGCTGTCATTTTTTGTATTTATGTCAAAATTGACCAATGTCAACGTACACATACAGTCTAGAAAATGTCAACGTACACACTCAGAATTCAGTTTGATCTGAACATGAGGCTGCAACTTCGGGATAGGTGGCTTTGTCTTACAAAAAGCTAGTTGGCTTTCTATTTAGATTGCCCTCTCAAACTGTATATTAGTACAGCTTTGTACAAAGAAAAAAGTTGCAAGTACATTCATATCATCACAAATAAGCTTAATCAACCTTTAACTTTTTTATTATGTTATTTATTTGTTCTTTTGTGATTTTCTTTTAGAAGAAAAAAAAATCCAGTTACTCAGACTGCTTTATGATTTGCTGAAACAGCAATTGTATAATGTCTTAATTTAGCTCATATTACAGTCATTTAATAACGTAAACAGCAAAAATAAGCGTCTCTTGCTCAACCAACCTAGTGCCTTCTGTAGCAACAAAGGTTACCAATTGTTGACAATGACGCCGAATGACTATTTTTTTAGGTATTACCGGTATTTCACAAGTTATGTCACTTTAACCCTATGATTACATCACGAACGTTCTATTAACATTATATTTTCAATAATATATCTCCTCCTTGCACTAGTTATGTAATTGCCACATGTTATGGTCATTGTTATTTAATACATGGGCTAGCTTAATAGACGTGATATGTATTTTTGCATTCACAGTTTTCTTTGCCCTTGTTGTTTCACTGCAAATTTTGCCAACCATGTCTGCGAATTTACAAGTCTATGATATGTGTTCAACAAAAATTCTCAAGTGCCATACATTTTAATAATTTGCATTGCAATCAAAATTTTAAATTCAAGCAAACTATTTTATTTGAGCAAAATGTCGATAAAATTTCTGCATTGTAACAATCATTTCAATATACATTGTGGCATTTCTATGATTACTAGGGTCATATGACTGTGGTACTTGATATAACTTTTTAAATGTTTGAACAATGTCATTGATTCATATCTATAGCTCATTCATTGCGCACAAGATAAGATGGGTAAATTTATTACTAGTAACCATTTTCCAGTAACTGGTCTCTTGAGCAGTAAAAGCATTTTACTAGAAACTTGGTACTAGTAACTAACCATTTAACAAAGGGTAATTGGTTGCCTCAACCAACCTATAAAATGGTAAATTGTTTATAAGATATTTTTACATAACAAGTGCAAGTAGATATATTCTTGAAAATATAATGTTAATAGAACATTAGTGATGTAATCATAGGGATCAAGTGACGCAACTGCTAAAAAACTGATAATATAAAATTGTAACTCGGCGTCACCATCAACCTTGAACCCTTTTGCTGCTATGGAAGGCACTAGTTGGTTGAGCAAGAGACACTTATCCTGGCTGTTTACGTTATTAAGATGACTGTAATTACGATCTATATTGTAATACGATCTATATTAATACAGTATAAAATATAAAAAACGACTGTTTCAGCTAATCATTAAGCAGTTTGAGTAACTGGATAATTGTCTTCTAAAAAACAAAAGTACAAATAAATAACATAAAAAAGTTAAAGGTTGTTTAAGCTTATTTGCGATGAAGTGAATGCACTCTTAACTATTTCAAAAGTAATTATATGCAGTTTGAGAGGGCAATCTAAATTAAAAAGCCAACTTTTTGTTGGAAAAAGCCACCTATTTCGAAGTTGCAGCCTCATGTTCAGACCACTATCAAACTAAATTGGGAGTTTGTACGTTGACACTTTCTAGACAGTATGTGTACGTTGACATTTCTGTAAGTTGATCAATTTTGAAATAAATACAAAAACTGACAGCAGGAACCAGTTCTTTCTTCATTAAAACATTCTCTTATATATTTTAAAACCTGAAATTTTACTAGAACTGACATGCATATCGTTTATTAAGTTTTCATTCAACATTCTTACACAATAGTGTGTACGTTGTAATCGACAATTTGCAAATATTGTTTGAATGTTCTCATAAATTACAACACGTTAGACGAAACTAAATACATTTTTAGAAAGCATCGGAACTGCCGCGGTCGGTAGGCTATGTAGCATAATTTAAATCGGCTGGACAGAAAAATAATCACTAAAAACCTTACCTTAGCCGAGCTATTTTGGCCGTGTACGTTGACTTTTGTGGTCACATGACCAAAGTTGCTTACCCACGGTGAACTGTGTATGTAAGTACAATGTAAACAAAGACTGAACGATCAACAAGTGAAACAATGATGCGCTGAATTAAGTACAGACGAATCTCTTTATCTCGACTTTTATCGAGATAACGAGAGTCGATGTGTGATTGAGTCAAGATAATGAAAAATCGTGATAAACAAATAAGGCATGCTACGGGTTTGGATGCACTTTTTCTAAATTTGAAAGCTGTTTAAATTGAGTTTACCAAATAGAAGTAACTATGTTGTGTTAATAACTTGGAACGGCGTAACATGTTATCAAGGTGACATGTTATACAAAATGCAATATAAAACATAGTACATTTGTGTGCATGTTATAATGACTTAAGAAAAAAATGTTTACCTAGATAGCATTGCTCGTGGCCTAATTAGAATAAATTTATATCAACAATGAAATTTACAAACAAACATGTAACTGCTTACTTAATATGGGTGATATGGAATGCATCCCAGTATCTCACCGGTTAGCATAAAATTACAGTCATACTATTCACTGATGTAGTATATACATGTATAGCATTGTGTACACATGAAAATAGATACATTCTTGAAACTGATATTATTGTCTTTTTTCTCTTTTGATTATTTAAAAGTTTTTACTTATTGTTATTCTATATCAGACACAAACTATATTTATCCAGCTGTTTTGTTTCGTATGTTACAAACAAAACATGATATATAAATAAAAGATAAAACTTGAAATTTGATATTTCTAATGAATAGCGTCCGCGATAACTGTTAAACCATGAAAGTCTCATTTTACAAATCGTTATAAATCGTAAACTTTGCATTGATTAATACAGTACTTTGTACAAGATATGGAACGATTTATGAATAAATAAGTTATCTCTATTTGTAGTTGTTTTTTTTCACAAGTTATATCTTTAGGGTTTTTTTTTTTTTTTTTTTTTTTTTTCTTTTCTTTTCTTTTTTTAGTTTTTTTAGGTTTTTTTTTCTATTTTTGTGACTTTTGTTTGTTGTTGTTGTTTTGTTGCGCTCTTTTTTTTTGTTTGTTTTGATAGACGATTTATATACCTCATAAACTTTATCATTATTTTAGGTAGCATATAATAACTTCCTTTATTATACACCTTATAAAATATTAGACTAAGTAATGCTCTTTCAGCATTTTTATCAAGTGATGTTCCAGTAGAAATCATTTGTGTATCCAATCTTATCAGTTTTAGACTTGTTAGCTTAGTTTTTCATTTCCAGAGTAAAAAAAGTCCATATTTAACCCATATCCCAACCTATATAGTCTCGTTTTTTTATGTCTGGAGTCCAAAAATGTTATATCAAATCCACATCGCATACCATATATGCTCGTTTTCATTTCAATAGTTCAAATTATGTTTATCAAATTCATATCATATGCTGTGAAATAAAGAGGTCATTAAACATGGCTGAGAACAAAACTGATTCTATTTGACTCGTGCACTGCTATAAAACCTTTATCAGACTCGGCTGATGCCTCGCCCAACAAAATATTGACAATTGACAACACAATTCAGTTTTACCTCAAAACACAACACATAGATTTTTGTAAACAGACATACAGAAATAGAAATGGTACTTATGATACGAAAGTTATCTCAAATTATAATGTGACTTCTACTGACTTCTACTGACCACTT